TTATATTTTTGAATAAAAAATAAAGTCAAAATGGTTAAAAATAAAATAATGAATAATTTTATTTTTTATTAGGGAATGAACTACATCTAATAGAATGAATACATCCCAACTAGGTTGACACCTACTCACTTATCTATTATTTGCATTATCCTACTATTTAAAACTTGTGTGCTTAATAATAATACATTATTTTTAGTATCTAAATTTTTAAAACTTTAAAGTTCGACATTTAGAGACTTATTTTAAAGTTTTAAATTTAATGGTCTAAAGTATAATTTTTTTTCAAAAGAAGGGTGGGCAGGCTGTGTGGGCGGACATGCTTGATGGGCAGGCTCTTGGGTCAAGTTTTAACAGGTTATTGGGCCAAGCTTCGGGTCAAATTTTGGGATGAATAATGGATTTGGGGACAAACTCAAACCCTCTTTTTAAGGATATTGGGCTTCGACTCGAACTCGGGCTGGAACAGACCAACTATTGAGTCTACCAAATTTCAGACCTATTTTTTTGGATCAAATAACGAGACCAATAGGTAACCCAACCCATGACACCATGACATTTCTAAAAGATCTCATCTCCAAATATCTTGGAAGAGTTGTGACCAAATCTAAACACATAAAGCCAAATTAGGAGGTGAAAGATAATTTGAACAGATAAGGTCAAATCAAGAGGTAGAAGATAATTTGAACTCTAATTCTATCAGGTGATCGTCAAATCTCCAAAAAAAAGGGCAATACGTTGAATCCAACTCTTCAATTATTAGTTTTTAAGATTTGAAGTGAACAAAGTTTATACAAACCAGTGTGGACACTAAGGGTGTTCAAATTTTCGATTGACTGTAATTTTCTACCTTATCCGACCCTATCCTACCCTATTAAACGGTTAGTCGCAAAAATTGAGTAGGAATACGGAAGAGTTTTTGGTCTTACGATTAAATCGGGTAGGAATAAGGAATAGCCATCAATTTTTGAATTCCTACCCTACCCTACCCACATTAATTAATTAATTTATATATATACATACACACTAAAAAAACCCTAATCATTCATTGAGTCCTGTTCGAGTGCCTCACAGATCACACCTCACTCCACTCCTCCTCCTTCACCGTTCAATCCCATTCCTAGGTACTCTCTCTCTCTCTCTCTCTCTCTCTCTGTGGTATGGTTTGGTTCTCTATTGTCGTTTTTCACTTTTTTGGGGTTTGATGTATGTTTACTTGAAGTTGCAGAGACTACTTATTTTGGATGTGAGTTTTGTTTGTTTATTATTTAAAAGTTTATTTTCTTGAGAGCTTTTGGTCTGCTTTCCCAATGCCAGTTGGGGCTTGAGTTTCACTGGAATAGAGGAGGCTGGTATTGTGATGTTATGTTTTTGATTGCGACTGAAATTTGTAAGCTTAGTAGATCTACAAATATTTGAGAAGATATAAAGATTAAACTCATTTTGAAATTCCAATACAACCCATTTTGCTGGACCAATTTGTGTTCTGACATAACTATTCTTTCTTATTAGCGACAGATTATTCGTATATTACATCGAATATATAGCCAATTATTGGTATAACAACAGACTAGTGGTATTTAGCAAACCCCCCACAATACAAAACAAAGGCATGGTTGAAATATATCTAAATTTTACAAATGTTGAACGAAATCACCAAATAGATCAAACTAGGAATTACCTAAGCCAGTAAAATTAATTGTTGAAAATAAAATTCAGAAGGCTAAGATTTGCTTGTTCATGGTGACTCAGACAACTTTTAGTTTATTTAACAAACACATCTTTGTGGAGAGAAAGAGAAAAATTGTTCAAATCCACCTCAAGCAGCCATAGGAAGTTTGAGAAGAGAGGGTTCTCTTGTTAAATTTTGAAGCCAAATTTGAATCTTGCACGAACAGCGATATCAAATGGTAGAGTAATCATGAGCGAGATCTGTGAAATGATGATCCAAAAAAGTTCTTCACTGATACTTGCTGGGATGGATTTTTTGTGATACCTGCAAGCCTTTGTTAGCTATGTATGAATGTTAAATTTGTATATTCGATTACATCATGATATGCCTGGATTTTGTTTAAAAACATTTTGAGTTTCACTTTATTTTGATATTTATATATTTTGGGTTTACTACTTCATAATGTTAAGGAGCGTTTATCACTTCATGTTGTGATCACCAGATGCAAGCCTTTATTCTGATGCTTCTTTTTTGTTCACAAATCATTTCTTTATGGATGAAATGACTCCACAATCATCTACTCAAGTTGATTCTAACAGTAACATCCAAGTTACTGATGACATCCAGTGTGACGGACAAGATTTAACAAAATGATCTAGAGTTTGGGAGCAATTTGACAAGATTGAAGCTACAGATGAAGCTCAAATGTCAGCATTGTGGTAAGATTTACAATTATCATGCAAGAAAAACAGGTACTTCATCCTTACTTTATCATTTAGATCGTTATAAATCCTATTTGACGAGTGTGAATAAGAAGAACACATCTCAATTAAAGTTAATTGGTGCATTCAAAAAAGATGGAGATGGTGTTAGTAGTAACCTTAGTGTTGCTAAATTCAATGAAAAGAAAATTAGGGAGGCAATTGCTACTTTTATTATAGTGGATGAATTGTTGTTCTGGTCTATTGAAGGAGAAGGATTTAGAGACTTAATGAGGACTGTTGAACCTAGATTTCGTATACCTTCCCATACCACTATGATGAAGGATTGTTTGCAATTATATATGGTGGAGAAAGAAAAATTGAAGCATATGTTTGTCTCATCTATTTAAAGGGTTTGTCTTACTACTGATACATGGATGTCTATTCAAAATCAAACTTATATGTCCTTAACTACACATTTCATTGATAAAGATTGGAAGTTACACAAATGAATAATCAATTTTTTGAAAGTTCCTAATCATAAGGGTGTGACAATTGGAAGGGAAATTGAAACATGCATGCTTGCGTGGGGGATAGATAGCATATTTACTATTATAGTGGATAATGCTACTTCTAATGATAGTACTCTTGATTATTTAAAAAGGCGAACTAAGGATGGGAAGAGCATTATCTTAGAAAATGAATTTATGCATGTTAGGTGTTGTGCACACATTTTGAATCTAATCGTCATGGAGGGTTTGAAGGAAGTGAATACGTCAATTTTGAAGGAACAAAATGCTATTAAATATGTGAAGTCTTCTCCTTCAAGGCTTGACAAGTTTAATTCATGTATTGAGAGGCAAAAAATTGGTAAAAAGGGTCTTCTTTGCCTTGATGTTCCAACAAGATGAAACTCTACATATTTGATGCTCAAAGTTGCTGAACAGTACTAAGGCGCATTTGATTTGTTGCAAGAAGATGATGGACAATTTGTAAGTCAATTGAGTGAGGGGGTGGTTTAGGGCCACCTACATTTGATGATTGGGACATTGTTCGTGTGTTTATGAATGAAACTCTTCTACGAAGTCACATTGCGCATTTCTGGATCATTGTATACCACATCTAACTTGTTTTTTCAAGAACTTTCTACTGTGTATGATCATTTGCAAGGTCTTTGTGAAAAAGATATCTTTTGAGTACAATGGCTATGAGAATGAAAAGCAAGTATGATAAGTATTGAGGTCATTTAGATAATATTAATTTGATGTTGTTTGTTGCTATTGTACTTAACCCACGCTATAAATTGGATGCTTTAGAATTTTGGCTCAATGACAATTATAAGGCTGAGGATGAAGTAGTTAAGGTTCAACTAGTTGAAAAGATCAAAAGGGTCATTAACCGATTATGCCAACAGTACACTAGATTTAGTGTGGGGTGTGGAGTGGGGTCAAGTGTTGACCATGAGAAAAATGTTTCTTCGACTGAGATGTCTGTTCAAGATCAAGTACCTACAAATTTTATGAATAGATACCACAAGTATATGGCTGAGAAAGGTAATGTGAACAACAAATTAGAGTTGGATTGATATTTGATGGAGGATGTTGAATTTGTTAGTGCCAATTATGATATTTTGAATTGGTGGAAAGTTAATTCTTCTAAATTGATTTTTGCCAAAATAACTCGTAATGTGTTACCTATTCTCATTTCTACGGTGGCATCAGAATCGACTTTTAGCACTGGAGTTCGTATTTTAAATCCTTTTCGGAGTTGCCTAGCACCCAAGATAGTTGAGGATCTCATATGTGTACAAAATTGGCTTCAATCGTCATCCATTGCTTATGACTTCGAAGATTCTATGAAAGATTCAAAAAGTTATAAGCTAGATTCAGGTTTCTATACTTTTATTGTTACTTTTTATTATTTGTTAACGAGTTCTTCGTATCTAATTTTTTTTCATACTTTTTTTTATCTCATAAATAACTAAAGAAACATTTGCAATTGCTCTTGAGTGAAGAGAGGTGAATGACACTAACAAAAAATGTGTTATTTAACTTTTTTATATTTTTTTTAGTAATTATAAGAGTATTTGTGTGGTATAATTTATATTACACTATTGTTATTGTTGTGAATGTTTGAGTTACTAAAACATGAATTTATTTTTTGTGTAGGTTACATAATTTGTGATGAACTGGTAAACTTCCACATGCAGAGCAATTATAATTTTAATGTATTTCATATGGTTTAAACTTAAAATAATTGATATTGTATTTGTGTAATAATTATGGTGAATTGATGTTCATACTTTCTTGTGTTTTATTATAATTATTGTTATAATTGTTTTAAATTTTAGTGGTGTTGATTTATTGTATTGTTAAATTGGTACATGTTATTTAATTAAATTATTAAAATGATCCAAAAATTAATAACTACAAAAGTATTTACCCAACTTTCTACCCGATTAATCAGGTAGGAATACTACACCTGATTGGGTAAGGTAGGTCAAGAAAAAATTCTTTCACAAAGAATCGGATAGGAAGACAAAAAAACACATTTTCTATCCGTAGGTATGGTGAACACCCCTAGTGGACACTACCCCAAAAATCACCTCATCCAAACCAGTGTGGACACTACCTCAAAAATTACATCAATAATTGATAAAATATTTAACCAACAATCTTAAAATTCATGGTCTTTACATAAAAAAATTAAGTAATAATGTTTCACGGAGAATTAATATTCTTTTGAAAAGTCCAAAAATAATAGGTTACTGAATTTTCTAAGGTGGGATGACTGGAGATGAATTCTTGCACAACCTTTTTTTTTTCTTGAACTGGAAATTCTTACTCACCCACATATTTGTGTTTCTCCTCCTTATTTCCCATGGTAACCAAACAAGATAAAATCATACTGTATAAAATTTAATGTTTTTCCTCCACTAAACCCACAAATTAGTTGGAGGATTACACTTCATGAACTCCATAAGAGTAGGAGCTTGGCAAATCCATCATCAAACACTTTCCATGGGTTTTTCCATGGAGAATGGCTATTGGACAATTTACCCCGGGACCAGATGGTTGGATCATGCTGCGCATTCGTCGAGTTCTGAAAATGTAGAAATGATACAGAGAACATTAACACGGTTATATGCAATAACAAGGAGACCAAATAATTCCTTGAAGAACAAGTTCAACAAGTTTCAAGATCCCAAAGAAAAGCTATTGCATCAAATAGCATGATATGTACAGTTCAGCCAACAAAAAAAAAAACATTCTGTTTTTAACTCTCAGTGTCATTGCTCCGTTCCTTGAAATTCTTCACCATCACTACTAAAGCGGAGAGGTAAAGGAAGAAAAAGTAGAAAGTCTCACCAGAACTTCCAAAATAATTCCAATTTTAGGACAAGATGTGCTTTCAATAATAGTAATCATCCTCAGAATCATGGTACTCCTCACCCTCATCCTCCTCATCGAAGTCATCATCATCCTCATCCTCATCATCTCTATCGAATATAATGTTATTTTCATGCCATAGTGGGCAGGAACACGTTGCTTTCTTATTTTTCCACTCATCTCCACAAGTGTAGCAGAACTCATATCCACATCTGCAAAAACAAAGTGCAAATTACAGAACCATCAGAGAAAAGTCTCTTCTTTTTCCTTCGTTTGATTACAAGTTCTACAGAAGCACCCAATGTAAGACAAAAGTTTCCATGAAGTAACACAATTTTAACTCTCAAAGGTGCTTTCGAGTAAAACGACATGCCACCCTGTAGAGGGATTTTTCCAACTAATGCTAACAAGTATACAACACCCATGAAGTTCATGCAAGAAAATTCAACTCTATCATGGGAACAACCAGCGAGTAATCACACACATCGTTTATGCCAATCATGATGCCAGAGACTAATACTTTGCTTCATGCTGACAAGTGACATGCAAGTGGGAATGCAAACTATCAAACATAGAAGAACTTCAAACACATATCAATAGGATAGGAAACCACAAACATGAGCAAAATTTTTCCATGGACATCAAATTCTCCACATCCAATATGTACTTGAAGAATGTATGTGCTGCAAACAACATGCCTGAAAAGCAAGAAACTTAAATCTGTGTGGCTTTGGACAAAATGCAATAATTAGCTGCAGTATATGATCTAACTTGATGTACAACTTATTTTCTAAAAGAGCATGCTCAGATTTTGGGAAGAGCGATAATAATCAAGGTGATTCCACAGCACCACCCAAATACAACAATGGCATTATTTAGTCAATACCTGCAAGTCATGTGGAAGCAACCTGTAGCAAGCTCAATCATATGGTTGCACTTTACACACTGGCGCCATAGATTATTTGCGGCCAAAGTCTTCAACTTCACATCTTCTGGAGGATTAGGATTATTACACTTGTAGTCATTGCAGGTCATATTACTGTGCCAAGGAACCTTGCAATTGATGCAGAAGTGACCCTGGCATTTTAGGCATTTCCTGGCTCCAGATCTTTCAGGCGCAACAAATACACCCTTAGAATATTCTAGAACTTCATGTTTTGACATCAACACTGAGCATTTGGGATAAGGGCAGTAGACTTTCTCAGTAACAGGAATGGAAGCTTCTTTTATTTGCTGCATCATAATCTCAATCAATTTAGGTGTCAAGAATTTCCTACAGCTATCAATACTCAGTTCTGAAGTACAGCCTTCATGGGGGCATTTAGGCTCCATCCCATGGTGCAATTTCACTTCTACATGTTGTTTCATGCAAGAAAAACAATAACGGTGCAAGCAACCATCAATCGAAAACATCTTGCCAACATCTGTATCTTCGAGACAAATCACACAATTCTCGTACACACTCCTGGGATGACTAGATTCTGCAGGCCCATTAATCTGAGAAACTATTGCCTCCCTTGCAAGTTTGAATGCAAGCTTTATATCATTTCGAGCCACAAAATGCGGGTTGCAGTAAGTAAATTTATTACGAAGGATGGAGACTTGGTTGGCCAATGTAGCAACCTTTCGTTGCCTTGCTGACCATCGACCAGTAACCTGCATTTGACCATAGAATCTTAAGAACCAGTACTTTCAGTAATTGAAGACCCAAGCATAGTAACGTTAATTTAAACAAGTCATATACTTAACTGAAATATAAGTTCTTAAAACATTATTAAATAACTCATGGATGACATTTTTTATCGTGTTATTAATATTTTTTCTTGTAATAAAAATTGAAAAGATATCATGCAAATTATACATGGAAATATGGAACACGGGAGTTATCTCCATCCGCCATGCAACAAAAGGAGGCTACGTGGCTACTTCATTCATGACGAATTTTCTTTACTGTGCACATGATTGAAAAGAATCCCATAAATCACTATTTAGAAAAGCTTGGATATTCCAAACTCAAAGCCCCCCTTCATGACTTATCAATCTAACACAAACAACCTAGAAGATAACCAACCTCCTCACTCCCACATTGCCAAGCTAATAAAACAATTTATTGATTTATGTTTGAACAATCCGAAAGGAAGTAATCTCCATACTTCACCAGAATTACCCATCAACCACACATGTACAACGCAATCGTAATTTTAGAGTTCATCATATCAACACAACCCGGATGTTCTTACAACATCCCCTACAATGGACACTGAACTAATTCCCACTTCATCATTATTTTCATTTCCCTCAAGATAAAACTTAATAATCCCTTTTTCACTATAAATACTAATCAATAGTAAATAAAGTCACAAATAGTACTCGTAACTTCATAACGAGACATTGAAACACAAAATTAAACATAAAATGAATTCCAAAATAAATTTGAAGACTCACAAACATATATATAGGATGGTAATCGCAATAAAACACGACCCTCTTCAAATCCAGCGCAATGGCTGCGTTCAACCCTTCAAGCAAAGCCTTCAGCTCGGCGCATTGCCGGCTTATCCCATTCCCAATCAGCGGCTTCCTCAGTTCAAAAAACACTTCATCCCTCGAATCACAAATCGCGACGCCGATTCCGGCCAACACCGCCTTCCAAGAACTGGTATTAACAATCTCCTCACTCACCAAACCCTTGAAATAAATCCTAAATATCTCCGAATTCACACTGTTAGAACTACCCTCACCGAACGGACGCTCGAAATTGTCTCCAACTTCCAGCCACTCGTCATCCGACATGCGATGAATCTCGTGGGCCACTTCTTGATCGTGAATCCGACGGTGGAGATCATCCCTCAGTCTCTTGAATTCCGCTTCGGAGATCCTCCGATCACTCACTTCTAGTTCGAATTTCTCGAGTTCTTCGGATTGGTAATCGGCAAAACTCAAAAAGTCGGGGCTCTCTGGAGGGGTGTGAACCAATTGTTGTGGTGGTGAATTGGTTGAGGAGGGCTGGATGGAAAGTGAGGCGTCAAGGGCTTCTTGGAGTTGGAGATTGAATGCGAAATCAAGGTCGGACTCTAGGGTTTTGGCGGCCATGAGTTCTAGGCGTTGTTGGGTAGCTATGGTGTGGAGGTCTTCGTCGTCTTTTGGGTCGGCCATTGGTTGTGGGGTCGATCGATGCCCAGTGCTTTCCAAAAGAGTTCGAAGTCTCGTGGTTCTGTGCCTCCGTGTGTAAATCAGATTCGGGCTCGAGTGAACTGCCAATCGTAACACAGCGAAGGTTAAATTACATTCTGTATCCTTAAAAATTGCTAAATTGTAAATTGAATCAATAAAATCCTTAAACTTTCGCGTGCCCTACATAGGAGGTTTAATTTTACTAATCGGCCTTTAAAGTTTGTCTATCTCAAAGGTCGTTTGACTGTTGAATTATAGGGGTATTAAAAAGTTATATTATATTAAAATACTTTAATAAAGATTTATATTACATTTGGATGTAAAAACTTATTTTGTTTTATATATGAGATTAATTAGATAAATATGTTCTACAAATAATTCTAACACAATCTATCTGTACTATTAGGCTAATTTTAATATCATCAAGAGATATGGTATTATAATATAGTCTAGGTGTATTGTATCGTTATTTTATAATTTTACTCTCAATATAAGAAAATTTCATATGATCATTCATTCTTATTTATTTTATTAAAAATTACATAGATATCTCAACTTTATAACAAAATGATCCAACTTCCCCTCATCTGGACAACTTATAAAGAGATGTATCTCGTCTATCGCTCATATGGATAATGATAAACAACGGCATTAATAATAAACAAATGCATACATATAAAATACATTTTTACACAATTAAAACATGTTTGTTTAATATTAATATTATTTTAAAATATTCATAATAAGTATTATTTACATAGCTTTTGGTTCTATTTATATAGTGCTACGAAATGTTGGATCAATATAAGGGATCAGAATGGAGATGATTGAGGGCATTTTAGTCCACTCATTTTAATACCATTAAATAAATTACATAACTAAACATTATATTAGACTTTATACTTATTATCCAACTCTTAATACCGTACTTAACAAACATTTGACTATAACTGGTATTATCTTTATCCACGGTTTTTTTTTTTGGTCAGAATTTTTATCCACAATTTAATCTTAGATTTTATCCATATATTTAAGATTGTCCGGTATTCCCTAGACTGGCATTCTTTTCTTAATATGACATCCAAACAACTTACATGTATTACTTTGAGCCCTTTATTACTATGTAAGAGGCTAATTTTCACATGTTTTGTTTGGTATGATGTAAAAATAGAAAAAAAAATTAAAATTATAGATAAAATATCATGTTTAGTAAACAAAAAAATAAGAATGATGAAAAAGTTAATGGATGAACATTTTTTTCAGCTCATCAAAATTTATCTCTTTAAACTTGAAAAAAAAATAGATGAAAAGTTAATTATATATATTGAAATGTATATTATTTATTTTTATATAACTTAATGTATGCACACATTATATTTATTTATACATATTATATACATATTAATTTTATATATAGACTCAATGATAAAATATACATCTACACTTTTTCTATCTCATCAAACATAAAAAAATAAAAAAATTATTATTATTATTCTTAATTTTCCCCCCCCATACCAAACACAAAAAAATAATAATAAAATAATTTATCATTTGAAAGATAAAAAAATGTATTACTGTTCATTTTTATCCTCACATTTTTTCCAACTACCTTACCAAATTCACCATAAGTCCACTTTAATGTTGTAGTTTTGCATTTTTAAATTGTCATAATTTACTCATCAATTGAGCGACACGAGCTCTTCATTTGCACTTGTTAACTCATCTTTTATAAATTAGGTTATTTATAATTTTTAGGGTAAATTTTATTGACACATTTTAGATTTAAGTTATATTTCACTGACACCTCCTCTAATTTTTAAAATATTATTAAATATCCCAATAATTTATATATGTGTTTAACAAACTGCACTTGCCATATATACCATCACCGTCAAGCAAAAAAACTTGTGATGTGATGGCTTATTCTCTTATAAGTTATCAAGTTTACCCTTGTCATATAGAATAAGCTAACACTAAATTACATGTTAATTTGGCATGTCATTTTTCCAAAATTAACAAGTTTACCCCTAGTCATTCAATTTTACAGAATTAACATTAAATTTCCTGGTAATATAATTTATAGCTGGAAATGTCCATTTGATATTAATTTTATAAGATTAAATATTAATTATATTAAAGGAAAATTTCCAGTTTGCCCCTCGTGGTTTGTGCCTTAAGCATATAACCCCCCCCCTATGATTTGAAAATAAGCACATCACTCCCAGTCATTATGGACTAAACTGCACAACTCACTCAGTTAAATGATGATTGTAAAAGTATATAATCATCTACCCAAGAATCTCAACCATTCAGTTGAACGCACAAAGTTGAGGAGAAATATTAGAGCAAAAAGTAGAGTTTGATTTAGGTTTCAATTTCCTTATGAATCGAAGTTAGGGCTCCGATTCTTGATGATTTGAAGCTAGGGCTTCGATTGACCAATTAAGAGATGATATAGGATTTTGATTTAAATAGGCAGAAGATTCAAGGCCAAAAAGAATGCCAACATCGCAACACCAACAAGGTTAGCTTATTTCTAGTTTTCCTTATATGCGAAATTATGCATCAAGTTATGTGTGTGAAGATTTGTATCACTTTTTCATTTTTGTTTTGTTTATGTGGCATACATTTGTTGTTTATTGGCTTAGTGGTCCTACCACTAAGGATTTGTAATTTAAATATTTGGTACTTTGGGTTTGTGGTCATACCAAAGGTTCCATCTGCAAGTGTTTTTTCTAGTTTGTGGTCCTACCACATGTTGTATGGTGATTTTGGATGGGTAAAAGGGGACAAAGGTTTTCCCACTATTTTGTTTATTGTATTAATGTACATCTTTTAATACAAAATGGGTTAGGACAAATTTGTTGTCGAACTGAATCATGGGGGAAAGTTCACATGGACACCAAAATTTGTTTACAAAGGTGGTACTGTAAGTATTATTGAAGACTGCGAACCAAACAAATTTTCTTTGCTTGAGATTATAGACATGTATGTATCATTAGGAGGAGATAGGGTGAATCTTGACATATATTATAGGGTTCCTGGGTATAGTTTGGACATGGGAGTAAAGCAAATGAGATCACACTGTGATATTATTGAGTTACTAAAATGTTATGAAAACCTGCCAGTAGTTGTAATAGACATTGACAAGGGTGATGATCTACTATCTGTGTTATCACCTGATTGTGCAAGGCATACTATGAATACTATGGATGATGAAGTTGATATTAATGTGAACGAACAGATTCAAAACAGTGATACACTTGAGACTGATTCTAATGACAATGATTACATAGTGAATATCTCTGAATGTTATGACAGTGATGAGTATAGTGAGAACCCTAGTTGGATTTATGAAGACCTAGAAGGTTTAGATGATGATGGCATTTTCAAAAGTGACTTTCTATCTAATAGGGCTGAAACGTCTGTGAATCATGATGTTGGACCATCTCAGTCAAATGTAATTATGCAAATGGACGAAGAATGGTATTCTGAGATAGGAAATGAAGAGGAGTTATTTAGTCTAAAAGGGTCATATGATGAAGAAGGTGATGGTTACATTGAGTTCAATGAGAGAATGACGTTTGATCCCAAGCTTGTGGTTGGGATGAAATTTTCATCTGCTTAGGCTTTTAGAGAACTACTTAGGGAATACAAAGTGAAGATTGAGTACGACATCAAATACTTGAAGAATGAGAGTAGGAGAATCACTGCTATTTGCAAGTATGGGTGTGACTGGAGGATACATGCTTCACCAGTTGGAGGGAGCAGAACTTTTCAGTTGAAGACACTAAAAGGCTCAAATTTATGTGGTAGGCACTATGAGAATGAGCAAGCTAACTCAAGGTATTTGGGAACTAAGTATGTGGATGAGGTGAGAGATAATCCTCGCATAAATGTTGCCTCATTTGCCAAGAAAATAAAGAGAGACTTTATGTTGAATTCAAGTAGATTTCAATGTTACAAGGTGAAAAAGGAAGGCTAAGAATGTAATAGCAGGTGATGTGGCTGAGCAATATGTTAGACTATAGGAATACTGTGAGACAGCTAGGAAACATAACCCCAATAGCACACTTCTATTGAAGCCTAAACATGGAGCATTGCAACCAACCTTTCAAAGAATGTATTGGAGGTTGGGAGCCATGAAAGAAGGATTTGTTGATGGTTGTAGACCTATTTCCCAATTGCTCTAGCAATTGTTAAGATTGAGTGTAAAGATTCTTGGAGTTGGCTTTTAACTAAATTGACAAGAGACTTAGGAAGACATGAGGATATGGGTTGGGAGTTTATTTCTGATAGACAAAAAGCCCTTGTGGAGACATTTGATCACTTGATGCCTACGGCAAACCATATATACTGTCTCATACATATGTATAACAATTTCAAGGCCAAGTATAAGAGTGTAGAGTTGAAGAATTTTTTCTGGAAACTTTTCAACTGCCAGTGTGAATGACTTTAAATACTGGATGGCTTAGATAGAACAGGTTGACAAGAATGCTACTGAGTGTTGAAGGGTGTCAACCTAACTTTGTGGACTAGATAACACTTCTCTACAATATGTGAATGTGATATTTTGGTGAACAACTTATCTGAATCGTTTAATTCATATATTCTTGAAGCAAGAGATATGCCCATAATTAGTATGTTTAAGTGGATTTGAAGGAAATTTATGAGCAAAATACAAGTAAAGACAAAGGGTATAGAAACTTATCTTGGTTTAATATGTCCTCGTATTCAAGAAAAAATGGAACAAAACAAGAATGATTTGAGGAATTGTTTTCCTACTTGGTGTGGTGAGCTTGAGTTTGAGGTGGACCATTTTGATAGGGTGTTCATAGTGGATCTCAGAGCAAGAACTTGTGCTTGCAAAATGTGGGAGTTGTCTAGGCTACCTTGCTCCCTTGCGATAAGTGTCATACAAGAATCATAAGCTACAAGAGACATATGTGCATGAATATTACATTAAAAACTACATATATGGCAACATATGCAAATATAATACATTCAGTCCCTGGCATGCATGATTATGTTCATAGTGGAATACAGCCATTGAAACCCCCATTACTCCGGAAACTACTTGGAAGACCAAAAAAATTGAGAAGAAGGGAGACAGAAAAGCCTAGAAACTCTCATAAGGTTTCTAGGAAAAAACTTAATGTCACATGTACAAAATGCTTGGAGACTGGTCACAATAGACGATCGTGCAAGAACATGATCCACCCTAAATCTAAGTTATTGAGGGTAAGAGTGATTTTTTTTAATATAATTTGTGCATTATTTTTTCAAACACTAATTATAAATTACATTTTTGGTATTGTAGAGATCGACTAATGGTGCAGCCTACACTGATGGTGCAACCTCCAATACTGCTGAAGCCTCCACTGATGGTCTAGCCTCCATTACTGGTGCAACCTACAACGCTGCTACACCTTCCACTGCTGTAGCCTCCAATGTTGTTGCTGCCTCCACTACTGGAAGAGGTTCTAGGACTGGTGCAATTGGGAGATGTTATAGGAGTGGTGCAGTTGGGAGAGGTTTTGGGAGTGGTGTCGTTGGCACTTGGTAGAGGTTTAGTGCAACACAAATATCCAAGTTCAATACAGTCTGAAAGTTCAGTGTAGCATAAAGGCTCACTCAGGCTAGTCCAATCCCAACCTATTCAATCTGCTGGGAATGTGCACAATGCAACAAGTGGTCTACTTAGTGGCAAAACAACTATATCCAACATATTGGATAGAATTAGGGCTAAGAAAAGGTCATAATTCAGTCTAAATATTTTTTTGTCTATGTTATATCAAAAGAGTCTTTTGGAATTTGTTATGTGCTCTTTTGATTGTGTACAGTCTATGTGCTCTTTTGATTGTATTGAACATCTATTTCCTTTTTGGTTATATGAGAAAATGGTTGTGAGCATCTCTTTTCTGTCTTTATTTTATCAACTGCAGAAACTTCTCCAACCATTAAATTTTGAAATACATCATATCTATTGAGAAGCAAACTTTGTAGTTGATTTTTTAGCTAATCAAGGTGTCTAAGATCGTGCTGATAGGGAGATTATTTCGATAGAATATTTATCACCTGAATTTGAAATTGGTTCCTTTACTCCTAGTTGGATGGTCTGCTTTGCTGAGGCATTTATTCTCTTTTAATTATGTTATCTACGCATAAATTGATAAATTTTGATGCAACAACTAAATTAAAATACCATTAAAACTTTAATGACCTAATTGTTGCAATTGCAACTTCAATGACTAAATAAAAATTAGGTGCATATTTTAAAATATATATTATTATTTACCTTTTACAAATTTGACTTATATATATATTATCTTTTTTTTTTTAGTTTCGAGAAAGAATTTAGCTAAATTAACATCACAATCAACCATTAAATTTAAATATAAACTCTAAAATTTAACCTCAAAATAAAAATTTTAATCAGTACCCTACTAGATCAGGCCAGTCATGGATTGAGTTTGTGAAAGTGGGAATTATTTAAATTTAAATGATATTATACATTTATTTAATTTCAAAATGAATATTAGAAAACTCTACGAAATAATGACGCATCCTTTCCCTTAGCACAAAGAACACATCTGTCCCTTGGTCTTGAGCTCATCGTCGCCTGATCGCAGAGAGAGAATGAACGGAGTAGCGAAGAAAATCGCTGACGTGACTTTTAAGGCAGGGAAGACCATAGATTGGGACGGCATGGCGAAGCTTCTCGTCTCCGACGAGGCCCGTAAGGAGTTTGTTAACCTTCGCCGTGCCTTCGGTGAGGTCAACTCCGCTCTCCAAACTAAGTTCAGTCAGGTCCTCCTTACTTCCTCTCTATCCTCTCATGTATAAAAATATATAATCTAAGGTTTTCATTTTTGGTGGTTATGGTATGGATCTACAAGCTACAGCTAGTTGAGGTTTGTGGCCTATTCAGAATGACTGTCGATTTTGAATACGATTGGAAAATTGAAAAGGTTTATGTTTATTAAGAATTCATGGCTAGTCTGATTGCAATACTGTACTGTTGTGAGATGATTGGATTAAAGGGTATGTTGTTGATATCTTGAAGAACGTTTGATTATGTTGTTTCTTTTGCAATTGACATGGTTAGGGGCCAATTGAGATGTAATGCATTTTTTGTGATAAATGCATATATTGTTATTTAAATTGCAGCATTGTACAGATGGTGATTTGTTTTTCACCCTAAGTTTTTTCGTACGGTTGTAAAATGAATCAAGCTACTCGAGTTTTGCTAGTGAATTTTGGAGATTTATTCTTGGAATAAATAAGCCAAGCTTGAACACATTCTAAAGTAATTTGCAACGTTGAACTCTACTTGATCTTGACTCAGTACTACGTAGAAAACTAAATTACTTGGGCTTAGCTTGTGGTCAGCTTAATTAGAAGCTTGCTTGATATTGACTCGTGAGATAAATGCGTCAAGCTTGAGCTTTATTAGGAGCTTGTCAAAACTTTTTGAACCAAGCTTGAGCAACCCACTACTCTGGGTCGATTCAGCTTGTTCGTTCACATTCCTAATTACTAGATGAATCAGACAGGATGATAACTTATTGCTTTGTTAGTGGACTGTTTTTGGGTGATGGATTCTGCTATTGGAGTGCATTGAAGTCACTAAACCTTGGTGGGATTGTCTGAATTGCACATTAACATGTGTATCTGATAGAAGTGGCAGAGCTAGTATCATAAAGTATAAGAATCTTCGTCACTTTGCATAACCACAAACAAGTTTATGATATAACAAATAGGATATTGTAAATGTCTCGCTGGATTTTGTCTTTGATTAAGGGCTTGCTGCATCTGGATTCTTGATATCATAGTAAGCCTTGATAGTCAGAGCTGGTAAAGGGCATACCTAACTGTTGCCACTACTGACTCTTTGGATTGCTCCTATTGACATATCAGCAGATTTGTTAAGTCATAGGCACATTTTGGACCTGAGATGAAGGAAATGCATGTATTTGGTGGCTTTTTTGTCGATTATATTGAGTCTATTTTTGTTTACTTTTCTATAATTTGAAACAAATAGCTAGTTTGTTCTCTGTCATCAAGATCTCTGCATATTTTTCTGCTGTTCCTGATCAGAAAGAAAAAAAGCTTGATGTATTTTGTTCTGTGCATCTATTCATTCCCTCCTTTCTCTCCCTTACACATTACCCTAGCTAAGATTTTTTTTTTCACAGTTCTACTTCCAATTTATTCATCTAAATATCAATGAGCTGTTAGTGAGCCCAATGATTTCAATGCATTGTCCTAATGTGGAGTTTGAGTGCTGTGACATATGATTTTTCATTCTGGCATGTTATATATACAGAGGAGACAATCTTTAATAATACTGTTCAATTGTCTATTTTTGAATTTTTAGATTTTTAATGCTCTTTTTTCTGAAACATTGAGGTGACTTCACCGATATGAAAAATATTGTCTCAGTGAATAGTAACATAAATGTGATTTGTGCTAATCACACACATGATCATACTCAATTCGGTGGAATTGTTTGATCTTAAAGGAAATCTTCTATAATTTTGCATATGAGGGTTATTTCTCGGTTTTGTACAGTTAACTTGATTATTTATAGGTAATTTCAGATTGAAACAAAGCTTGTAAAGAGTCGTATTAAAACCAAGATATATAGGCCTACCTGATGTATGTATAATTGTGCCGCACTTTGGCACTTTATGAGTGGCTTTATTCAACTTCTTTTTTGGATAGAGACAATAGTTTCATATTTTATTCCATGGGAGGGGAAGACTCATCTTGAACCTAGGTCAAGAGCTTGGTTGTAGTTTCGTACCAGCTGGTCTTTACCCTTAGTCCCTTTTTTATATGCGTCTTGGTTTCTATGAGAAAATAATGTTTGAGAATGATATTTGAAGAGTGAAATTGTGTTGCATATTCCATCTATGAGCAGCTCTCATGCAATGAATCTGATGGTAAAAATATGATTTTCACTTTTTCAATTATGCAGGAACCAGAACCCATAGACTGGGAGTATTACAGAAAAGGAATTGGCTCCCGCTTGGTTGATATGTACAAAGAAGCATATGAGAGTATGGCCTATGCATTGCTTAAGTAATCCTAACTTGATTGAAACTTGTTTTCTAATTGACTTTCCTTCTTACAAGAAATAAAACGTCTTACAGCAAAACTGACTCACCCAACCTCTTTCTGACTCTGAAAGATTCAAAATGCGATGGATAACTCCGCCTGTATTTCTTCTTTTCTTCTTTTTGGAGTGTTCGTTGCGCCCCAAATAGTGCATAGATCTTGATCACCTTAACCCTACTTGTTAATTTCTAGATTTCATGGGCACTCAAAGACATTTTTCACTTAGAAGTCAGGGAGTTTCAGACGCTAGTCAGATTCTGAAACCATTCTTTCGTGAAGCTTGATTTTGTGTTGTTGAACCTGAACCGTGTTGTTGATTTGCAGGCATTGAAATCCCAAAGTATGTGGACACTGTCACTCCTCAATATAAACCCAAGTTTGACTCACTGGTGAGGAAAGTATTACTTTGTACCGCATCAGAAGTTACTAATATCTTTAGCATGTACATCATTTTTGTTAATGGTAAAGTTTTTTTTTCTTGCTTAATCTTTTTCTACTTCACAACTCTGATGTTAATTAAGAAAAATGGAGATGCAACATTGTAGTGCCTGGTTATATATAATGTCATTGCAGTTGGGGGGATGATAGTTCACAATTTTCATTTAGATATTGAAATTGAAGCAAACGTTCATACGAGAAGCTGATTGGATAGTCAAATTATCATATGGATAATGGTCCGGATGTTTGTTTATGGGGTTCAAATGAAAAAGTACTCATGGGCGAAAAATAATTGGTTTATATGGTGCATCATTTCTAGAATATTTATAACACTGTCACTTGAGTTTCAGTTGGTGGAACTGAAAGAAGCAGAGGAAATATCTCTGAAAGAGTCTGAAAGGTTAGGAAAAGAAATTGCAGAAGTGCAAGAGTTGAAGGTGATGTGAAACAAACTCCAGTTTGTCCATTTCTTCACGCTTGTTTCTTGCCAGTTTGTTTTGTAATCCTACTTGGATTTCTCACGGTGATGTTCTGATATAACAGAAGAAGCTGAGTACCATGACTGCTGATGAATACTTTGAGAAGCATCCAGAGTTGAAGAAGAAGTTTGATGATGAAATCCGAAATGATTATTGGGGCTATTGATCAGTTTTGCCGCCAGTTATTGGGATCCCTTTTGAATTCATTGCTATTTGTTTCGGTTTTTAGAAATAAAAGATCAAAGAACAACTTGGTTCATGATTTGATTGCTTTGGTATTTTGACAATTATGGAGTGCCACATACTTTTGAGTTTTGACATATCCTAATGAAGCCTCTGCAAAGAGGCAAATGATGAGCAAATGTAATTGAGTTGATTTCCATTCAAGTACCAAGCACGGGTTGTCTTTTCATTGAAGCTCTTTCAAAACTGGTTAATTCTATTGGGTGATTGTTTTGCTTATTTTCCTGCTTGATCTAAAGAAAATTTCTCATACTTGATCTTAAGAAAATTGTCAGTTTCGAATTTAAGACTTTTGAATTTACCGATTATTCCTGTCAATACATTGGGTTATGTCTTGGGTGATATAACAGTGCTTGCTTTCACCCTTACTCTTCGATCAAGTTGGCATGGTGGGTTGGCGTGAGGCCACCATTTTCATGACAGGCCTACCAAGGATCGATTCAAGGCATTATGTAGTTGACAAGACAACAGACTATATGCCTAACCAGTTTGAGGTTGTGACATGTATGCATATCTCCAAATTATCTTTTCATGTGGTGGAAAATGGGAATACATACAATATATTCAAACGATAATAGTCTAAGAAGAGTCATGGCCACAACCTCCCAGAAATTGGAATCAATCTATCTACATATATAAAACAAATAAATTACAAGGTAAAAACTTGAGAAACCCACCCTCTATTTCTTAATTTTCTAGAATTTTTATTTTTTTAATGACTATATTAAGTCTTTTTCCAACCACATTCTATCATTTGTCTTTTCTACCACCTCTCAACTCTCCATTAACTACCCAATATTTTTGAAATTTATTTGCATAAATTATCTTTATTATTTAATAAATTATTATTATTCTTTTTTTTACCTTCTTAAGTAATAAGATGAAAGAGAAAAAATAAATTAAAAAAATGACAGAATATATATATATATATATATATATATATATATATCCGCACAAGACCTTGATGCAAGTACTAAATATTCAAACTATACCTATCTATTATTACAACTAGCAATTTAAATTGTATATTTATAAAAACACAACAACAGTTAAGATTGATTTAATAATTTTTATCAAATTTCATCTAACAGTATAAAATTCATTCAAAAAAAAAAATTCACCCAAAAACATCATATTTTCAGCATGATTTTCTAAATGTTAGATAATTCAACCAAGATATTCTCTTTGTCAATCAATCCCTCTAATCAACACCTACTTCTTTTTTCTTTTTCTCCTAACTTGCTCTTATTTAATTACATATCATTAATCAATTTTTGGTGTTATAGAGTTTTGGGAATGGCTAAAGTGGTATTGTACCAAAATTTGTAATTTTTTAAGGCTAAGTTGTAACTTTTTTTAGTTATAAATTATAATTTTAAAGGGCATGACCGATTATAAAAGATTAGGATCGATACTAAGATTTTTATAATTGATCATGGGTATCTGTGGTCAATCATAACCTTCTTTGAACAATTATAACTTCTTTTTTTAAAGTTATAACTTTAGACATAAAAAATGATAATCGAGAATATAGTACGAAAAAAATAGAATTTCCCTAGGGTCATTTTAGTTAAGAAGAAAAAAATGGTAGGACAGTGAAAATGATAAAAAGTGAAGTAAAAAAAAAACGATCAAAAAATATATTTTCATGCACACATTTGGTTAGCATGAAAAACTTCTAAAAAAATTTAAAATAATTTTATTCTATTGTTTGAAAGAAAGGAAGTTGTAAGATTTTTTTTTTAATTATCTAAATTACCTTTTAATTATATTAAATCAATTTAAAGACGAAAAAAATATGTATTACAATTGAAAGTCAAAAAATTTAAAATTTAAAGAAGCAAAAAATATGTATCATAGTGGAAAGTTAAAATATTTTAAAAAAAAATGGCTCGTAACCTAATTTTAGGACATGTACTAACACAAATGTCTTTCAGTTAAATTATATGGTTAATCAAATTCATAACAATTTTTTTTTAAATTAATATCCAATAAAATATTTTTAAAAAATAAGGATAAAATGAGAAATTAGTTATAAATCATAATTTTCTTGTATAAAAAAAAAGTGGTTAGCTATGAAAAAATTCAAATATAAAAAAATTTCTACCATTTTTTATTTCTTGCTAATGTAAAAAATGTCGAATTTATTATATTTTCTATCATTTTCTGGTTAAACAAACAGAGACAGAGTTTTTAGGCACTAATTACTGCCAGTAGTCTAATGTGTGGTGTGTGGATATGGGGAAGGAGTGGCATTAATGAGGTCTGGCCATCGACTTCTGTTGGCAACAAAAAAGCGAACGACTATATATGACAGGATCATCTCCGTTCCCTGGCGTCGGCTCACTCCTATATCAACGTTTCCACCTACTCCGGTGTATCGACGACGGTGATACCTTCTCCCTAGTTGTTGCAATTCACCAAGCTTCGTCGCGTGAGTAAATCCTTCAACTCTCTCTGATCAGATCTAGGGTTTGAGTTCTGCCTCAATTTTTTATACATAATCCGTAGAAAAGAAGGGAAATCAACTGTTTGGGTGCATCCAGATTTTCATCCTCTAAAGGATTTTCAACATCACCAAGGTAGATCATCTTCCTCCCATCGTAGATCTTTGTTTTCCCTCTTTTGCTTTGATTGATTCCATTCTTCCTCCTGATCTGATCTGTGCATGTTGGTCTTTGTGTGTGTCGGTGGGTGTTCCACCCGGAAAAGGGAGAGAAAGACAGAGCGTTTGTGTTAAAATTGGGATCACTGAGAAGTAATTTCACATCTACCTTGAAGCATCTAGTGACAGTTGCTTATAGTTCTGAAAGGCCTCGCATGAAGTTTATTTGGGCATTATGCGGTGGTGAATTAAAATATAATATTGTTGATAGGTATTTCGAATAAACTCCAATAGATCATTGAGGGCCTGGGTTTTAGGCAGTCACTGAAATTTCATTTTGATCTGTTCTACCTTAATTTCAACCAAGTGTTTTAATCCAAAAAGTTTAGTGTAGTAAGAGTTACAATTTTTATGTTACTCAAGTGCACATTGCTAAATGAACATTATAGTGAACCAATCCAAAAATCATTGAGCTTGCCTCTACTTTATTTGCTTCACGTCAATGATAGAAATGTAGTTTAGTTATATGTGATGAACTACTCAATTGATGCATATAAAAAAAAATGTTTTATGTTTTTCGATGTTGTAGTTGGGGTTGAACATAAGGCCATGTTTTTTCTTCCGTTGCATTTTTCATGACCTATGTTATTATCTAATAGGATGCGATGTTTATGTTGAAGAGGCGTATTGAATGTTGAATAGCAATTGTTTCACATAATTAATAGTCTTCGGTGGCAATTTTAGGCAATGCATTTTTGGGTTTGAGTGGAAGGGGGTACCACTTCATAAATTGTGCTTGCAAAATCAGATAATGTTGTCGTGTTGATGACCATTGTAATCCTTCTCCAGTCTAAGAGATGAATGTTGTTGGTGTCTATTAAATGACTACTAATTATTGGCTGTTGAAGTTGAAATGAGTTAATATGTTGTACGGGTATGACTGTGAGATTTTTTTTTTTTTTTGTTGTAGTATGATGAACTATGGGATGGTTGTTTTAAATGTTTGCACCATCTGTGTTGTTAATATGAAATCAGAAGTAACAGGGAAATTGTTCAAAGAAATTACTTAATCCATTAGTAGAAGTGGTTGCCAAACATGTTTTGTGTTTCCATTTTCATTTAGCCAAACAAGCTTTTTGTTTTTACTTTTCATCAAGAGAAAAAAAAAACAATACGTTTATGTTTTCACTTTTTTTTGAAAAAGAAAACCTATTTCCAAACCGCACCTTAGTAACTCAGTTTCGTTTAGCCTCGGTATATTTCTCTTCTACCGTACACTTTTGTATCATCAAACTGAAGAAAAGGTTGGTTTCTTTTCAGATCCATTCTCCCATCTTCTGTAAAACTATGTATCTAGGTCATATGTATTGCAAATTTCTGAATTATTGTGAGCTTCTACTCACACCATATCGATTACTATCTTTGATCTAAAGTTCATTATTTTGCCCTAGTTATTTTGATCGGGGTGCATAATTCTATTGGAGCATTTTTAGTTATATGTATGTATTATATAAATATTCACCCCCAAGCACATTCGACACACTCATAAATACTATTTTTATGCATTTGTATGTAAAGCCGTGTATATTTCGGTCAAATACATAGTTTGAGTGCTGCTGATTGGTCTATTGAGCCCACGTTAAGCTAAATTATGTTTGTGGATAGTTGTGTCACTGATTTTCTGTCATTTGTTGCAGCATTCTGTGTGCCATTTCACTGACATTTATGTTCTCTATTTGAATTTTTTCAGGTAGAATATGGGTGTGGTACCAAATAATATCGACATGGAGGAAGGAACACTGGAAATTGGCATGGGTAATTTGTTACATGCGCACGCACACACATTCACTCTTTCTCTTTCTGTGTATAAGAGCGTGTACATCTGTGTATTGGTACAAAAATATGTACAAAACTCAAGTTCTTTGAGGCACCATGTTAATAGCAGCAGAAGTATTTTTTTTTTTTTTTTTTTTGAAAGCCAATTTGATCAAATATTTAGATTCAAGTCAAGATAACCATCTCAAAAAGTGGCAAGTAAACGGTATCAAGAGTTTGAAAATGGATTATTCACGCAATTTTATTTTGAACAACAAATCAAGTATGTAGCTTGTATTTATTACCAGCAACAAGGAAGAAAGATGTTGCCAAGTAAAATCTAATTGGAGGATAAGTTAGATGTCGATTTATCATGCTGCTTTGCATTGCAGTCACAAGGGGTAAATTGTGTTACTATTATATTTATGTCTTGCCATGCAATATGTTGCGCTTTGCCCATAAGTTGAAATTATGAAAGACTAGAAATGAATTATGGTGATATCTTGGATGAGCTTATGCTGAATATTGAACCAGGCTAGATTGTCAATTTCAGAAAGTTTGAATAACAAGAATTTGGAAGTTAGGGAAAAATAGCCCAAAATTGAAGCTTCCTTATTTGTTTTCTAGACAAGATTTTAGTTTTGCTGGCTGCTTTTTCACTTAAAAAACCAATTAACTTCTCCATGCAACAATTTTGAAGCCTGCTGTCACCTGATGGTGGGAAATGAACTTCAGAACTTGGTCCATATTTTCAAAAAATAAAGGAAGGATTATCCCCCCCAATTCCAAAATATGGCATGCATCCCATCTCTTCTTCTGTATGTAGACAACATTTCACACTGTGGTGCACGAGTTTCTCATGAAAGGAAATTGAACTTCATTTCTCTGTGGAGCATGATGTCACTTGTTTATAGGTTAAACTGTTTCTTTCCCCTGGTCATTACTAAGTTTATCTTATCCAGCATTATGCCCATGGCCGTTATCAAGTTTACCTTCAATTGCATCCTTCGGCGGGAGAATGAAATGTGGACATGAGTTTAGTAGTTAGGCTGGAGGATCAATGTGATTACATCTTCTAAATATTTTTTTCCCAGTTGGGGTGAGAATCCTAGATAAAAAAATCTGAGATTGGAGCTCCGCTCAAATTTTTTCAAGCCTTGGGACCAGTGTTTTGTATGATACGATGTAGAATTAATACTCCTTTTTTTCTCTTGCAGAATATAGAACTGTCTCTGGAGTTGCTGGACCGTTGGTTATTCTCGAGAAAGTTAAGGTGGATATTATGCTCTTCATCCCTCATTGTTTCATTGCTTATGCTTTACTCACTTTATGTTTATATATAGATGTTAATCATGTTATATATCACATGTATCATGTGATATACCTACATTGATAAATGTATGCTTTTACGTGTAATTGGGGGCATAATCATACTTATGTTTTCTATTAATCATGTCAGGGACCCAAGTATCAAGAGATTGTGAACATTCGTTTAGGAGATGGAACAACCCGACGTGGTCAAGTTCTTGAGGTTGATGGGGAGAAAGCTGTTGTTCAGGTGATTACTCTTTAGTATTCTACTCACTGTTTTGTACATTCCTGGGTGGGCTCATTATTTTGAATGACTTTCACATTTAACTATGGGTTCATACATCATTGAGGATCAATTTCCCTGCCATTTTTCTCTGCTAAAATCCACCCCTTTCATTATCCTTTTTTTTAGTGAAGTTATTTTCTGACGTTGCTGTTGTGTCAATACTGCATCCATGTGTCATATTACCTCTTAGATTCCTTATTGCCTCTCTTTTGGTTCACAGAGCTCTTAAAAGCTAAAAGTCTAAAACTTATTTCACTGATTTATTTTTTCAAAAGGGCTAAATGTCTCAATGGTTCTTTGTGTTGCTTGGGCATGCAATTTTTTATTACGAGGTTGGCTTAATCATAATTGAGTGACTAGTCAATATTTCCCATTGCACACCTTCTCCAGTTGCATTACTTGCCTATTTAGTAAGGTAATTTTAAATATGGCTATTGTTAGATACACCACCACTCTGGGCCATCCAGCTTCCCAGATTCAACCATGGCTTAAATCACTTATTTATTGGTCAGTTTGGAAGTATATTTGAAAACAATAAATCACTATTATTCCAATATTTTAGCCACCAAATTGAATGTTTTTATACTCATTTATTTAGTTTGGTTCAATATGTATTTTTTTTATCATGGCCAGTTTTCAATCACTCAGGGCAATATACCAAATTTTGACATTGGTATCATTGTGAGGTAGTTCTTTATTTTTGTTCAATAAATCTGATATTTCCCAGTTATTCTTTGTTGTCTAGGAATTATTGATCGATATATTTTTGCTCGTCATGTCACGATATTGATAAAAGTATATGGACTCCTATACCAATATTTTACAATATACTCTGATAATTAATATTATGGCCATACATTGACTGGCACAATTTATGGGGAACTAATTGATTTTTTGAAATAGTGGCGAGGCCTTACTATGTTGTTTGTGGTTGGCATTCTGCCTGGGAAGTTCTTATGCCTTGATTTCCGGTGCATGTTACATGCCTTGGAAGGCTCCTGCAAATGAATGCTCCTTACTTTTATCCTTAATCCATTCTTCTGGAAATTGTGATTGCGAAAACATGTATTCACTTTTATTTTTAATTCACGTGGTGATCTTTAACCAGGTTTTTGAAGGAACATCTGGAATTGACAACAAATTCACTACTGTGCAATTTACAGGGGAGGTACAAAATTGTCTTTTGTCATTGTTCCTTTTTTTCTAATGAACTCTACACCAAAGATAATGCAGGGGTTTGCTGTCATAGTTTTATTTTTGAAAGGCTTGGTCTTGTAAAAGACAGTAATTTTTTCCCACCTTAATCATGTCTACCTTATTCCTTCATTTTTCCTATTAAACGAAGCATTAACTAAGAATTTGCTGATTTTCCCTATCAAAAACTATTCCTTTATATATTCTACCTAAAGTTTGTCTGCCTGAGTTGGAGCATGCATGCAAACTGCAAATATTTGCTATTATATTAATATAATGTTGGTTTTTTACAATATAGATATATAATAAATATTTATGTGTATATTACTGTTATGATGGTTGATATTATACCATTAAATATGACTTTTTTGACGATTGAACTGAAAGAAGATGAATATTGTATGCCATGGCATATAGAAAATTTGATGCCATCTATAATGTGTAGAAGTTATTTTCCAGCATTGGTTTTTTTTGCTGGGGTTCTACAGTATCAGTTTCTTCTAAATGATATTATGTTAAATTAATAAATTATCACTTAGTGCATTTGCCTTAAGACAGTGCAATAGCTTTTTTCTATTGCATATGCAAGGAATCTATGGTTGTGTTTGGCTTAACTTCTCAAAGTGAAAGTCCATCTGAAAAATGGACTTTTTAAAATGCACTTACAAAAATGACTTTTTATAAATATAAGATGTTTGGTGAGGATATATTTTCGAAGTGTTTTTGAGTCAAGAAGTGAATACAAATATATAAATTATGTTTGATGGGAAAGTGTTCAAAGTGAAAAATAATAATTATATAACAATATTACCCTCAATATGATGCTTAAAACTGACAAATTTAAATGATTACTATCAGATGAAATCTATTAAAAATCCAAACTACACATATTTTGTATCTGAACTATAAGCTATAATTCAGAGAAATTGCACCAGTATAAGCAAAAATCAATGTGTGTATAGAATTTCTAACTAAAGAAGAAGCATAACCTGAAAAATTATAAAGAATCAATTCCACTTCACAGCAAAACCCACAAGTGTACTCTATAATTGGAGTTGACTAGCAAGTTAATAGATTAGACTACTCCTTCATCCAATTTTAAAGGCTTGTTTCATGTCTCTAGCTACCCGCTATGAGACAAATAAAAATACAAGACAAAATGTTTTCCTCCCTCAATGAATCCAGAATCCTCACCACTCTCATCACATGTTTTCTTCTCAAAACAACTGGTTCGCACATATCCAAGTTTCTAGCCATAGAAAATAATCCTATGTGTCATCCTGCTCAACACCAAGGTGTCTGCAGATTGATCCCAAGATGATGACACCCAACGAATGCAGAAATTGTGGTTAGAAAATGGTCTATGATTTCGATTGTAGTGATTACAGAATATATTTGACTGTGGTGGTTCGGCGGCCGCATGTATAGCAGCGGTGGTGGAGATCCCAGAATATACCCACTCATGAAGGAGATACTGCACTTCACCTCAAAGAAATGTGATGCAAGTAAATACAAACAAATTGAAGGGTAGAATTGTTATCATGTTGGGTAAAAGAGAGGTAATATTGAAACTTTGCTTTTATTACTTAAATAGATTTTCAGACTTCGCGAGAAGTCATTTTCGGCCATTTTGAGAAGCTAGCAAAGACAGCTTCTCTGGTTGCGCATTTAAAAGATGGGCTTCCACTGGAAGCTCGTTTCCAATATGTCACCAAACAAACTAGACTTCCTTAATTGCACTTATGGGCTCAAAAGCGCATTTGGAAGTGTGGCCAAACACACCCTATATATCTTGCTTTCTGCATGTCTGCAAACTTTCTTATGCCATTTGTCGGTTGAATAATCATACTCGTGTATATTCTACTTATGGACTTCTATTTTACGAAAGGATTCTGGAGATCAACTATTTGTTATGATATGAATGGGTTATGAGTTTGTTGTGTGGAGTATGGGCTCATTTTGCATTTGCACATGGATTTGCATTGAAAGTCAAGCCTGTGTTTTGCTTTTAAGGATCAGCTTATGCTCCCTTCTCGCAGTTCTTCTCCTATTTTCCAGAATCACACTTAAAGCATCAGTTTTTCCCTTCTAAGAATGCCCATTACAACTTGTTTACAGGTTTTGAAAACTCCTGTCTCATTGGACATGCTTGGTCGTATATTCAATGGTTCTGGGAAGCCCATTGACAATGGTCCCCCTATTTTGCCTGAGGCTTACTTGGATATTTCTGGTGAGTGTTTGTAAGGATCCAATGATGTTTTCCATATTGCAGTATCTTGCATACATCTAGATGTGCCATGCTCACATTGAAATAATTCTTCACTTGTCTTCTGTAGGGAGTTCTATCAATCCTAGTGAGCGAACCTATCCTGAAGAGATGATACAGACAGGAATTTCAACGATTGATGTTATGAATTCTATTGCTAGAGGACAGAAAATTCCTCTTTTTTCCGCCGCTGGTCTTCCCCATAATGAAATAGCTGCTCAGATCTGTCGTCAGGCTGGTTTGGTGAAGCGGTTGGAGAAAACTGGAAGTCTTCTTGAGGTACATATGGGATATGAATATTTTGCATCTGTTAATGATTAAATGATATTCTTGACACGATGAATAGCTATAAGAGATGGAAAACCGAGGCTCCATGCTCATTTTGATGATCGACTCTAGTGAGATGATTTTCATTATCCAGTATGGCTTATACAGGATGGGGAAGAGGACAATTTTGCCATTGTGTTTGCAGCTATGGGAGTCAACATGGAGACAGCACAGTTTTTCAAACGTGATTTTGAGGAAAATGGGTCTATGGAGAGAGTGACCCTTTTTCTAAACTTGGTAATTCAGTTAAATTAAACCATGAATCTATGTCATTTGCTTCTGCAACGTGATGGCTGATTATGTTAAGATTATAAAATCTGTTTCTTATATGCTTTTGGTACAGGCCAATGACCCTACAATAGAACGTATTATTACTCCTCGGATTGCTCTGACTACTGCAGAATATTTGGCATATGAATGTGGGAAGCATGTTCTTGTCATATTAACAGATATGAGTTCTTATGCCGATGCTCTTCGTGAGGTAATTATGCATCAGTGTACACTGCACTGTCCATTACATCCTCTGGTTTGCATTGCCAATGTGATAAAATGAATTATCTTATGTCTAGCAGCCTTTAGTTTGTTTCTTATGATTTTGTCTGCTTTACAAGGTTAGCTGAATGATACGAGCTTTCAAATTATGTCTGAATTTTCATCTTAGCTAGGATTTCCAATATCTTATCTCATATCTTCATAATATTTTCTCAAGTAGAACATTGGTTTGAGATAATTTATTACTGGCTACCACAGGTATCTGCTGCCCGCGAGGAAGTGCCTGGACGGCGTGGGTATCCTGGGTATATGTATACTGATCTGGCAACAATCTATGAACGTGCTGGACGAATTGAAGGGCGAAAGGGCTCCATCACACAAATTCCTATTTTGACTATGCCCAATGATGGTAATTTTGCATTATCAAAATGGATTATGTTTCTTGTTTGCTTTGGCATTTGTATTTACCTGAATGTGTTTGTGTTATTTGATCAGACATCACACATCCTACTCCGGATCTTACGGGTTATATTACTGAAGGACAGATATATATTGACAGGCTACTTTATAATCGTCAGGTCAGGTTTTGAAGCTCCAACATTGTAAAATTAATTAGGTTTTCAGTTAAGTAAAATAAGTGGTGAGAATTTTAACTTCAAATTGGATTTTCATGTCAATTTTATGCATAGTAACTCACTTTTTGCCCTACCGAGTGCCATGATGTGCAGTATCTCCTATAATTGGCACACTATTGCCTCATAGCTTGGAATCAGAAACAAGAGCTGTGTTTGTATTCTTGCACAGCGTTGTGCATTTTAAGAAATGCAAATGTGTTTGTATTCTTGCTCGGCATCAATTTTCCTATGCTTCATCAATGTGTGAGTTGGTGGACAAATTCAGGTCTAGTGCTAGGCTGATTGCTAAAGGTTGGCTTGTTAGAGGCATCCACTCAAAACCAATTGACAATGGGTGTAGAGGCCCTTGAGCCATATAAAGCAATCTTGGTGGTCCTAATATTTTGATGTGGAGTACAAGTTCTCTTCACATGGCTATCTACTCAATAGTAGGGGTGCAACTTGGGTTGGACAACCCGAGCCCAACCCGAAAAAATTAGGACTTGGGTAAAGGTTTTTAATATTTGGGTTGGGGTTGGGTCAGAAAACCCCAACACGAATTCAATTTGGGTTGGGCTTGGGTTAGAAAATCCTAACCCGATTTCAACCCGAACCCGACAATTTAAAAAAAAATTATATATATATATATATAAAGCATTAGCACTAATGTTTCATTTTTGTTCTATCGTTTTCTGTTTCTCTTGTTCATTTTCATTTTTTTTCTAGCATTAGCACTGTTAAAACTTTGTTAAAGTTATTGGTTGTTAATTTAGGTGAATATTATGTAATATATGTATTAGGTTTAGAACAACAAGCATATTTTGGGCTCTACCCGAACTCAACCCGAATTGAACCTGTAAAGTAACCTGAAATTAGCTCGAAATCATTAACTCGAATTCAACCCGAGCCCGCCCGAATTAAACTCGGTAAGAGCTTGGGTTGAGTTCTTCAGCCCGAGGTAGGGTTAGGGTTAGGGTTAAGGTTGAAGATTATATACCTAGGGTTGACTATCCAACCCGCCCGAGTTGCATCCCTACTCAATAGTTTCTAGCATATGTACATGTATACATTAGGAAAGTTGGGTTCTGATCTTTATAAGTGACCTTGTAACTAGTATTATGCTCAGAAATGATGGGTTGACCATGAGTAGCTTACCAACGTCTGGAACTTTATCCCCCTCGTTGATGGATTTGAAACTAAAAGTTATCTTATGTTTGAATTGAACAGATATACCCACCAATTAACGTTCTTCCATCCTTGTCTCGTTTGATGAAGGTATGTTCAGGGCTCTGCCGGATTTTATTATGTTGGTTCTTCGATGGAGATATAAAGGTAAAGCATACTTTAGGGGGCTTATAATTAACTGCACCATCTCATTGTTGCAGAGTGCCATTGGTGAGGGGATGACTCGCAGGGATCACGCTGATGTGTCCAACCAGGTTGGTTCGGCTGGGTGGAGCAAACAACAGCCACCCTGCCCACTTTCTCCTATAATGTTCTTCTGTGTCTGGAGCAATTTTAATTTAAATAATCTTTTTTTTTCTTCCTACAGCTATATGCAAATTATGCAATTGGAAAGGATGTCCAGGCAATGAAAGCTGTTGTTGGAGAAGAAGCGCTCTCTTCCGAGGACCTGGTCTGCACTTGTGCATAATTGGTGCTTCATTTTTTAACCATTAGCAGATCATTAGTGAGCTAACTAACAGAATTCCTATTTTCTAAACAGCTATATTTAGAGTTTCTGGACAAATTTGAGAGGAAGTTTGTCGCCCAAGGAGCCTATGACACCCGCAACATTTTCCAATCACTTGATTTGGCATGGACACTCCTTCGGATCTTCCCTCGTGAGCTTCTGCATCGTATTCCAGCAAAAACTCTTGATCAGTATTACAGTCGGGATACAGCTAGTTGATGGTGGGAAACAAGCTTTCTGTACCTTCTCCTGTTTGATCGCTTTGGGATGAGATTTATGTATGTTTTTTGCTGTACTCCTCCTTTTGCTGCCCAGCCTCTATCCAGCTCAAATAATAAAGGTTGTGTTCTTCTTAGTGAGTCCCTTAAAGCCAAAGCTCTCCGGCTTTTAGTGAGGCAATATTATTATTTTTACTGAGAACTAGTTAGGTATTGTAATTTCTGTAATGTTATTTATGTGTTTGTGATTTTGTGTTGGGTTTGCTTCGTATTCAAATTGTGCTTCAAAAACAAGCAGGGCTTCCAGGCTTCCAGATATTACCATGTATGTTGGTTGTTATGACATCTTTTTTGCAATCTAATTTATGCTTTTGTGATTTCTTTATTTCTTCGACTCGATAGTTTAATGCTTTCGTGTTGTGCTTGGCATGTGCTGTATGGTTTTTTTTTTTTGTTTTTTGTTATAGGGTGTTCAGACTTGCATGGACTACTCCTTTGAATTCAGTGGTTGACTACTGTGCATGTTATGTATTGTTATTATGTATTCAAATGCACTAGAGTCTCGACTAAAATTTTTGATTTAATCAAATATTAATTGTGTCTAACTCATATTTGACATTAGCAAAACATTTGATAAGTCTAATATAAATAACACTATTATTCGTGTCTAACGTCTTAAGCTTGGCTTGATTTTGTTAAAATTTACAAGCATTTATGCTGAGTTCGAACTGAAATTTGAGTTCAATTTTTCAGTAAAAACAAATAAAATATAAATCTTTTTAATGAGCGGATGTCAAAATTTGTGAATATGAAGATAATCGAAGAAGGTTGTATTATAATTGTTTGGAAGCCAATATAATATTTTTGCGTGGTTGAATCTTACTCATTCTTCTAGTCCTCAAATTTCAATCGACATGAAAGTAAAATGAAGAATTGAAGAAGTTGCATCTGAATTAAAGAGTGAAGGAATTTTTGTTCCATTTCAACATCTTGAGGCAAATGAAGAAGCGACAAAAAAAAAAATTATATTATTTGCAGTCATTTTATTTTCATGTTTTCAACTTATTTCTATTTTTTGTTATAACTAATGTAAAAAAGTTTGTAAGTACACTATAATGCTATCAGTCTTGGGATCATGTTCCTTCAGATACAATTTCTTTCTATATTGAACTCAAAGTTGTTAGTAATTAAAGTGCATTTACAAGCAAACATGGCAATGTTACAACAACGGAGTTTTAAATTACTACCCAAAAAAATTAAGTCCACAATGTTTAGAATTGATTCCAAACAGGCGTGATGTATCACAAACATTCCAAAAATTAAAGTGAAGTTACAGCAAAATGAGATACAGTTACATACAAAAATGGGCTTAAAACAAAAAGTTCAACATGTTTAGGATTAATCCGAAACATATTTGGAATCAATCACAAATATTCTGAACATTTTTGTGAACTTCGGAATGTCAACAATAGATAAAAAATATTTGGGATCGATAACAAATATTCTAGACTTTTTTTTTTTAGAAGTAATTTCACACCAATCTGTTTTAACTTCAGGTCATTTTGCTATAACTTCACTTTAGATCATTTTTATAGATCCAAAAAAGGTTGGGATCGATCACAAACAATTTGATTCCATAGTAACTTTATCGGATTTTGTCGTAACCTTGTCATATATATTTACTTCTACCTCGATGTTTAGAGTTTTGTATCATGATACTACAAAAAGACAAAAAAAAAAAGGAAAAGAACACAATCTATATCATAACAAAAACATAACCATTACATAGCCAACATCACAACCAAATCAATATTACAACTGTCCAACAACACAACCAAATGAAAATTAAAATGCCAAAATAAACTGTCCAACAAAGCTCATCAACATCAACTAACAACCCTCCCCTTTGTTGTTCTTCCATCTCCACTCTTTCTTTCCTCTTGTTACTTGACCACCACTTCTCATATTTTCTTTTCATTTTTTAAAAAATAATAGAAGTTTTCATTCATGAAGAATAAATCAGCGCCAATCATATGTATTTGCGTTGCATCAAAGGTTATACCCTACTTGAATGACAATGATTACTAAGGAAAAAAAGATAAAGTAAGAGATTTGATTCTCACGTATATGTAGTGTTAATGTAACATACCTGAGCATTTTATGGACTATTTGATACTTGATAAGGCAATGGATTTGAGTAACAATAAGTTGATGGAAATTGTTAACTTGATCCATGCATGTGAGAACATTGCTCATCACTTACTGATTTCACTGGTTGGGGTATCTTGGAACCAAGTAAAATAATAATGCAATTAGTACACTAAATATAATAAAGAAAAACTACATTGTCATATGTGTCATACCTTAGAGGTATGAGAAGGTTGTGAAGCTCCTCTTTTCCTCTTTGTTTGTTTCTCGTGCCAAGGTTTTAGGCGACCCCCACATAGTAGAATGTTTGGATCAACATTCTCAATACTTTCTTTTTCTGCACAAGTGGTTTTAAAGGATGCATGGCCTTCATCACAACTAACACTCACTTCAACTTGTGATACAATCATTTTCTCTACTTGTTTGAACAAATCATTAACTTGTGACACCAATTGATATGAACGGCACCATTCTAGGACATAGTTGCCTATAACGTGATGCTATCACCAACTTGGTATCCTCCTCATTTATTCTGGCACTGGAGTGCTGCGTATAAGAGTTCTTGCATCTCGTCTCCATCTCTTTATCATGTATCGTTATCATGTATGCCCAAGAATTTGCTTAATATTCATTCGATCAAGCACTGTAAGTGCATGACTGCATAAAATTCCATAATAATAATCATAACCTAATGAAGACATTAATGGATAAATAAATTTCTGATGCTCACATATCGAAAGGACCCACCAAACATCAGTAGAACAAACATTCATCATAACAAACAAAACAGGATTACACATAAATAAGCATGATCTGATGACCAGCTGAACATTTTTACAACAATGAATCGTAACAACCTACAACAATGAATTGTTCGTTCCAAATAATAAATCAATGATAGAGGTGATCTGCTTAGAATGTAACCTGACCTCAGCCATGAAATATACTACAAAGAAGCTCGTATACAATTAGTATCTTTGAGGAATCTGAATGGAACTATATCGAAGAAAAATATGGCTTCTTCTCTAGCTTGGTAAACCACCGGGGTCGATGTTGTTTACTGGACATACAGAAGCAAACTTACAAAACCTGCATTTCCAACGCTCCTCCTTTGGTGTAAAACTGGCTTCTCGGCCCCCCTGCCAAAACTCAAGACTACACTTAATTTGACCCTTAAGCCAATCAGAGTCATACTCAAACAGATCTTCTTCAAGAAGAGATTGATCTTCCTGAAATTCATATCTGCCCCACAACAACAAAAAAAAAAAAAAAATCAACAGAATTTACTTTCTAATCAAGTGAAAGTTGGCTAAGAGTAAGACAACCACTTATGGACTTCTAAAGATCCTTAAGTATTAAGAACTGCAAAGAATACAGATACAACTTAGAAGAACACTAGTTGAGATTGATGTTTCATATGGTTCAAACTATGAGTTCAAACATAGGAGCTTCAAATTTGAATCGTTTCAAATTACATGTAGTGCATATATTGGTTGCAAGTGGTAGAACAGTTGTAGCCATGCCCTGAAACCCCCAATTATGACGTCTGAAATAAAATAAGGGGAATAATTACAGAAATTATTCTTAAGCCTCAATCTTGTACTCACCTCAACAGTAGTTGGTCATGAGCTGGAGGAAGCATGCCACAAATATTTTGAAAATACCTCAGTAAATCGTCTAGAGTCTGCATGCACAGCCAAGAGGAAATCAACCAACTGTAAGAAAATGTTCAAAAGGTTGAACATATTCTTCCAAGTGATTAAAATAGATAGGAGCTCAAATCTATGGCCAAACTGTAGGTTATAGTTAACGTCAGATTAATCATCGAATGTCATTACCAATAGGTTATGATAGAGTGGAAGTAGAATTGGCTACTTCCTGATTCAACAAGTACTCTGCCCAGTTAAATGATTGAGAGGATGAGTCCAAAAGCAACGTGCGCTTATGGGAAAAAATGCATCATACGTTATCAGCTCAGAATTTACTGAAACATTGGTACTTCTTCGTAGAACAATAAAATTGTAACTTGGGGGGAAAAGGGGAAAAAACGTTTTTACCTCTGCAGGAAAACCTGACTTAGCAGTATTCTCTCTGATTTCTTCAGATAAAATGTTATAGGGATTCAAAGAAAAGAATTCTAAAAACTGTCTGGAGGGGAATTTATCAGCAGCCAAATTGTCCCACAGATGCTTGTAGCACATCAATTGAAGCCTGCCAAAACAAATGTTCACTTTATTTTGTATTGCTATTCCATTTTTTACCAACATGTATACCTTAAAAATTCAGAGGATTTAATACTCCCTATAGAAATATTCCTTACAAAGGCACCCGAACATAAGCTGTGAGAACAAACATACCTTCCATTTCTTCGTTGTGGTTCAGAAGGAATAATTGGCTGCACACGAGTTTTTGTGTCTACTAATGTTGGATTTCTTTCGGTTTCTGTCGAAGGCATTCTAACTTCATCGATCACTCCCACAATCCATACATTTTCTGCAAAGCCCACTCTGGTAGGATGATAAGCACAGCAAATCAGCCAAGGAGGAAGCTCATAAGACCCAAATTCAATCAAAGGGGTGCAAGTGTGTGGGAGGTGGGAATGTTTGTGAGTAGGTATGTGCATCTGAGCGCGCGCGCGTGTGTGTGTGAGAGAGTGAGAGACAGAGCACGGACAATACCCTCTTGAAAGAGGCCAGAATTATGACATTTTCTTTTGGTGTTCCTACTTGACAAAAATGGGCACATTAAACCCACAGTTATACATTAACACAGCGTACTTTAGTTCTCTCGGATGCAATTGTATTTTAATTTCCATTTGACAGTTAGCTCACTTGATGAAGAAGCCAACAAAGCAGAGCTTATATTTGAACAAATCAAGCACAAAATCAGAAGTAACACAAAGCGCATGCACACGAAAACAAGGAGACATGACAGACATGTTCAGCATTGTTAGACCAAAGTCCACAGGCAAAGAGAGGAAGGAATTAACTATGGATATTAATACACCGAAGAAATTCACAATGGAGATCAATGCACCAAAATGCCGCTCTACAGAAACCATAGAACTAAGGCCCTTCTCAATTGGGCCCGTTTGACAAGTGACACGCATTTGAAAAAACATTACATGAACAGAATCCAAAATTGCATGAAATTGGTCGCAAAAAATTGCGTCAAGGGTGCTTCCCTCGAATCCAAAATTGGGCTGATGCAACCTATTTTACCCCTTAGAGGAAACCAGATGCCCAAGTAACTGATCATGATGCATATCATCAATTACATGCATATTTGCTGATTATGGAAGTGCTTTGCATGTAATGCCGTGTAAATGATAAAGAATGTCAACTGGATTCAAACAAGCCATAAAGGAGTTCCAAATTACAACTCCTTATCTAAGCATTTCTTCAAAAAACTTCACCACAGCTTCAAATGCCTTCTCCTGGCTACAAACTATGTATCCAGACACTTGTAAATGTGCAATATTTTTGTCATGCAGTTATTAAAAGCTGCCCACAAAAGATGAAGCAAGGGATGGAAATTAATTAATAAACACAACTTACAATGGCAACTCGCGTGTTAAGCCATCAAACAGTAATTGATTCACACCAACTATAAAATTTATGAATTTTAACGCCCATGTATCTTCAACTGATGCAACACGAACTGGTACTCTTTTTACAACCTGCCCACATGTATAAAAAGGGTCAATATAATATGAAGGGAAGAAAAGACCATAAAAAGAATACTACATCTTCAGTTGACTGCCCTAGAAATGAACAGAGATCCTATTGAAGAAGTAGAATGATCTTAGAATTAGTACACAAAAGACCACAAACATAATACGACACAAATTTTTGCTGTGTTTACAACTTGCCACATGTATAAACAGGATCAAACAATAATATGGGCGTAAAATACCACAAACAGAGTAGAACATTTTCAGTGCCTATCCCAAAATGCACATAGATCCTATTAGATAAGTAGAATGGTCTTAAATTGAGCTTCTGTACCAATAACCATAAAAATTATATGAACAACTTTAAGAAGTCAGACAAATTACGATGCAATAATTTGCAGAAGCATGCTAGAGGAAAGGGGAGAAAAGTAAAGACACAAAAGGGAGGCATAAGTTTTAAGTTCTAAAAGCACCAAGCCACCAGTGATGATTAATCTTAGAAACTGCAGCATTAGTATGTCTCTACTACTACGTCAAACACTCATAAGCTATGTTTGGATGCCCACTTTTAATCGGCCATAAAGGGCAGGCTTTAGTGCGGAGGTAAGTTGCTCCATTATCACCTACTCGTTACCAAGTTCGAGTGATGGAAATGACTTCTTCATATGTGGGGATAAGACAAGCCTACCCAGACCCCGTAGTGATAGGAGCCTTGTGCACTGGGCCACCCTTCTAATTCTCTAGTCGCTGATGTTACAGCTTTCATAGGATACATCCCACCTATTATTTATTAACACAGGTTTAAAGGCATAAAATTTGATCAAAATTTGTACTGAGATCAGACCAACTGCATAAGAAGTTATTTTGAATTTTAGTGCTAAGCTTTCATACACCCAAGAATCCTGGATGGCCATACACGGGCACACTGATAAATGCAATAACCACATTAAAAGATCTATTAATGACTTGGAAGGGCTTTAATAACTGCAGATCAAGGAAATCAGCATTTCCCTCTTGTGAATTTCTATTTCATTTAACTAGAAAAATGTCAGCTAAAGAATAATTTTACATTTACAAGCCAAATACATTAACCACACGGACCTGATCTGGTGCCTTTTGCACAAACTTCATCGTGAACACTTCTTTTAAAGAAGATGATGTAAGTTTTGAAACGAGTATCAATATTGTATGAATCAAAACAAAAGAAACCATGTTCAAAGTATAGGAAAGAAAATCTGCAGCAATAATAGGCATGCACATAACAGAATAATTTATCAAACTAGAGTCTGAAGGTATACCTCTTCTTCAAGTACTGCATGGCGAGCTGTACCTGCTTTCATAGCTTTAGTGATTTCTGGCTTGCCGAAGAATAGAAAAAACTCCATCTGTTTTTCACACCACTCCTAATGTTGACATGAAACTAAAATGAAGTGAAAATTTAAACAACATCCTCATATAGAAAGTTTAGAAACAAACCTTCATGACAAAACATGACAATAATTTCAATTTAACAAAAAAAACACAAAACAGATGATATTCTGAGAAAAAAGCACAATGTCACAACATATCCAGTTCCTGCCAAGCAGGACAACAAAAATGCATCAGGGAACATGTTAACAGAAAACTGTCAAGGATTGGGAGATTAAACTGCGCTTTGAGTGTATTAGGACTTAGGAGGAAAAAGCCCTGTGGCACTAATCGTAAGCAAATGGTAGTTTGAAACAGATACTGCTTTTACAACCACATAAAAAAGCCCACTGAAAAAATTAAAATTCTAGTTTTAGTTTTGTGATCATATAAAACTGATGCAACAAAACCTTACAAGACCATAAAATGATGCTATATCCCGGCAGTGGAACAAAAAAAAAATATAAATGATGTTATAAAATATTTGGTGGAATGTACTGGAACTTGAGCTAAAACCACTCCCAAAGCATAAATATTTATATTTTGAGTCCAGAAAAACCAAAAAACAAGTTTATATTTATGCCCCAATGCACATACACAAACAAGATTAAAAAACGATAGTCTAGTGCACGAAGCTCCCACAACTATACGGTCTGGGATAGGTCATATATTTGCAACCTTATCTCTATCTATGAAAATGATGTTTCTGTGACAACTCAAGTTTGCATGACTGACAAAGGTAGGGTGTCAAAAGTTGATAGAAATGCAGCATTAGCAAGTATTGGATTGACAACTTGCAACTAAGCCAGAGTTGGACATGTGGTTTAGCAATAAAAAGGGGGCCAATAACATAGCTAGGTTTGGGCCGTTTGGCCCCTAAAACTAAATCAATTGGAGAATCTCACTGAGGGAGTTTCATTACAAGCTAAAAGGGATACGGGCTGTATGAACTATGAAACAATGCCAACAGTACAATTAAATTTGGATGGTTATGCATGAGTGGGGAAGGAGAATCTCATTGCGAGCATTCAGATTGTGGCATTGAGCGATTTCATCCTCGAGTTTGAAGGTACGAGAAATAAATCATATCAACAAAATGGTGAGCTTAAGCAATTGGCCTGGATGTAGTGGAAAATAACAAAACAAACAGCTGGAGATGTATCAATGCACATGATTATTTTTATAAGGGCAGAGAAGGGCCTGCACCAATAAACAAAGGATCTCAATAGCTAAATAAGATGACAGTAAAGACAGCATTTCTTTTGCTAAAATGGTCATGTATCAATCCATCCCACATCATGGATGTGGAAACTAGATGTATTTTCTCATTAGCATGCCTCAAAGTGACTAAACCCCAATCGATAAATAAGTATCCCTGTAGCATGAAGCAGCTGGTTTTGTTCTCTCTCTCTCTCTCTCTCTCTCTCTCTCTCTAAGTTTTGTAATATTAGAATGACGAGTTACAACCAGGGTATACTGACATTGAATACAACATTACCATATCATAAGTCGTAAGAGTGACAATGTATGGCTAGAGGGCGCTTAGACTACCCAATTTTGTGAGTGCCACAAATCCTGCAGCTGCAATTTAAAAAATTTCCACATGAATGAACAATGATCTTAGTGTACTTAGTTTTCAAACAAGTCGAAAGTTAAGGTTAAACACAAATACCGCCATCAAATGATTCAAATCCATTCTATTTCCATTCACCTAATGCACTCTTAAGTTCTCAACAACATATATTTCCCAAAACCGCAACAATCTTTCCAACCCAATATCTCTGTACCCACAAGTCGATCAGACTAACTAACAAACAAAACTCTCAACTAATTGCGCCTGCCATTGCACAATTAGCTCAACTTTTAAACAACATCTCAGTTTTTAGCAAAACCATTCAAAGCCAATGCAAAAACCCAGAAATATTACCACTTGAACTATAAGATTCAAAATAGAAATGGAAAACCAAATTCTAGCAACAGACGCCCAGACCCATTAGTCATTACCAGAATCCAACAAAAAAAAAAAATCATACCGTAGAAGTAATATCGGTAACAGACAACCCTCTTCTCCTCCGAAACCGATGCAACAAGGACTCAGTCGGTTTATTCCTCTTCGAGGTAAGATTAAACCCATCACCTAAATCCTCAATATCACCACCTGAACCGGTCTCTGTACAACCCGACAACCTCCTCTTAGACAACAACGAAATGGACCGAATAGACCTCGCATTCCCTTGAAACTGAATCGAAGAACAAAAGATTGAGGACGAAGACGAGGCTGCTGAGTTGATTGCAGAGCAAGAAGCCGAGGCGAGAGAAGAGCGTGTGGCGGCTAAAGCAGCTTCTATGAGAGCCATTTCTTCTTCACTCACGATCTCTATTGGGATCTGAGGGAGAACGGTTTGGTAGTTGATGGTGGAGGAGGTGGTGGCGGTTTCTTCGTCGGTTGGGCTATGAGGGGAGTGAGTCAGCGACTCGGTCATTTTGGCCGATTCAGCGACGAGTTTTGAGGGAACCAAGTGAACTGACCGTTGAGATCGGCAAGAAGAGAGGAGGTGCAAGTCAATTTGTAAGGTGAGAAGTGTGGGACCCATTAAAAAGGAGGAATTTTTCTCGTATGAACCGTTACACTAAAATTGTATGACACGTGTCGCATGAAAGACCAATGATGGGGTAATCAAGTCCTTATAGTTCCTAAGGCTTTATAATCGATGGGTCCCTTCGTAGGTTTGTTAATGAATTAGATTTTAATTTTAATTTATTTAATTAAATATTAATTTATATTTTTTATTAATAATTTACATTTATTATTTTACATTTTACCAATTCAAATTTAAATATACTTATATCCGATCTGAAATATGTATATATTTTTATGTAAATATTGATTATTTAAAAAAATTTAGTTAAAATTTATATGTAAGTTGTTAATTTTAGTTAAATTAAGTTATTAAGATCGGATCGAATTTTAGATTATATACTCAAATATGGACCATGAAAATAAAATTCATCAGATAATCAAATCGGACATTTAAAATCAAATTCAGATTCAGATCAATTAAAATTTGAATGGCCTAATTGTGAGTTCCATTGTTATAAATTGTTATTAGAAAACACTTATGATGAATTTTACTTAAATTTATGATCAATAATTAAAATGAATGAAATTAAAAAAAAATAAGTTTTAATATTTTAACCAATTCATAAATATTGGACACAAAAAGATGCATGATCAAACATGACCAAAGAGGTTTCGTTTGATGCGAATTTGGATCTCTTTCTTGATGGGGATTTATTTATTTATAATATATTTTATTGAGATTATAGTGTGTGATTTGTTATTAAAATTTATTTAATTAAAAGAATTTATGGAAGAAAGTCTAAATTTGTAAAAGGACATTTGGATTAAGAAGAATAGTTCGGTGTTTGGCTCCAAAAACAATCCTCGTTCATCAAATTTTTGTTTCGAAACGATTAAAATAATCGAAATATTTTCGTTTTTAAAAAGACCAAAATAAATTAGGAATAGAATTAAAATGTTTTGAACTTTTTTGAGATGTTTCTACATATTTTTACCATTGTTCGGTCATGTTTTAAGATATTTCAAAATGTTTTGACATCTGACCCAAAAAAAAAAAAATATATTTTGACATATTTTGAAATATTTTAGGAATAAATTTTTAATAATTTTGTTCATTTTCATTCGATTTCGGAAACACTTTTGAAATATTATTAAAATGTTTTCGATGCTTTAAGCAATCCAAACAATGTACATAAAAGAAATTTCAATCCCCACACAATATAATAATTGGGAAGAGGAGCCACCCAAAAATAAAAAGGCATCAACTTTAACTTTTTCATGCTAGTCGCTTTTTTCTAAGACGTGGTTTTGCTATGACAACATGTAAGAATCTTTATATTTATTGACTTTTAAAAGGTCGTTTGGAACTTTGGATGATTGGTTCCTTCCCCGTTAAGTTAATAACACATGGACGTGGTTAAAGGGCAAAAAAAAAAAAAGGAAAAAAAATTATAAAAAAGTAGTGGTTTGAGCATAAAGAGGATTGGACTAAACCGAAAATTTAAATAAGGTATTTTTATTTTTTTTTATGAAAAATTTACATTTTAAATTATTATACCATATTATTTATATTTGTTCACATGTTTTTTCAATAGATTCAAAAAAGGGATCATATCTAATATAATAATTAAATAAAATTTTACTAGATTTAATGTTAATATAATCAATAAAAAAATTATAAATAATAGAACTTAAGTTAAATATTATAGACTCAAATGATATTTTATGTTGTCGATAATAAGATAAAAACAAACTCAATAAAATATTAATAAAAATGAGGCCTTTATAATTCGGGCCATTGAGCCAACCCTGATTATTAGCCTCACATAAAAAAAAAAAATAATAATTGGCCTTTGGACTATGAATCTCTGGTTTCACATTTTGTTAATTTTGATTAAGTTCAATTTTGGTTATAAAATGTGACCGCACAAGATTTACCGAATTTTACAATGGAAAATATTATGTAATCTAAATTTGTATCTCAAATGAACGGAGATCATTGGATGAATGAGTTTCATCAACTTTTTTAAATGAGAACCATTGATCCAATGGTCTTTATTGATTTTGGATGCAAATTTAAGTTACAAATTTAGGTTACACAACACTGCTCTTTTACAATTTGTAGACCCGGGGTGATTAGGGTGGGAGGGAAGATGATACGTTTGCACGAAGTGAAGTTTAGGTTGTTTGGGATGTATGAGATGAGAGGAAGAAAAAAAAATTATGATGATATTACTGAGGAATGGTTTTATTAGAATATTTTTGTTTCTCACTTTAGACAATTAGCAATAATTTTTCTGATTCGGTAATTTGATTTTTTTTTTAAATCTTTATTTTGAGTTGTAGGACATTGATCGACTATATTTCGCCATTTTTGTGGTACTAATTTAGACCATTTAATCGAAGATACATCTCAATGATAATGAATGACCTCTCAACCAATTTTTCCATTGAATATCAATTGAGGCGGCCATAGTCTAGTGGTGGGAATAATTCTAATATTCGAGAGTCTAAATGAGGATTAAACATTCAGCGTAGCGGTGACACCATGTTATCAATGACACGTGTTGTAATCATTTAGTTAAAAATAACTAAATGAACAAATTATACCCAATTTTTTTTTATGAGATTGTATGGAAAGATAGTTACTCAATTATGTAGAACCACTTGCTCATTTATTAATTTCTTCTTGAATGGTAACACTATATTCTCTCTTAAATGAGAGTAAATATTAAATGTAACAATTACATAATGTTAGTAATATCACGTGAAATAACTAACTATACACTAATAAATTAACAAGTGGCCAAGTGAACACTTCAACATTCAGTAGTAACGCATCCATGTAGTATATAACGATCTCTAATGTAAATAATGTATATACATATATTATTTTGTTAAATATTTTTCAAAATGATTTTATTGTGTCCACCCTAAAATTTTCATATTAGCTAACACAAAATGACTAAGCATATTACGGACACGCTTTAAGCATGTTTGAATATATTTTGGATATATTGAAACTCATTTTTTTTGTTTTTTTTTAAATTAAGAACTTCTTTAAATATGATATCAAAAGTAGAATTATTATGTGATAAAATATAGAATTATTTTGTATATATATAAGAAACATGTATGTAAAAAAAATATTTGAAATTGAAACAATCTAAAAAATAAACATCATAATGTTATGAGATGAAGATTACTCACATAAAATGAAACAAACAAGAAAATAGAAAGTTAGAGAGAAACAGAGAGATAAAAATATGCAATTGGTGACTATACAAGCCTCACGCAAGTTATTTCCTGCCTTTATATGAAATACCATGAGACAATAGCAATGTTTGTCATGACTTTTTTGCTAATTTTTTGTATTTTTCACTCATGATTCTTGCCTAACTATATTTTTTTTCCTAAACGATGAACAATCTTTTATTTCTTGTTTAGTGTATTTTATTGTGATAGAGCATTCTGTGATTGATATTTTTTTAGTGTAATTTATGATTTTTTTTTTGTTTGTACGCTTAATTTAAATGTGAAATTACTTGTAATTGACCTACAATGAATTTTTAATGTTCAACGATTGACCTTTATTCAAACAAATATAAATTTATCATTATATTTTTATCAATTAAAAATTATTAATTAAATTTTGGAATTGAATTGTCCACCCTAAATTAAATTCTCGGCTCCACCCCTTGGTATAAGCACATGAGATATGCAAAAATAATCCAGAAATTTTTTTATACTACGTTTGTTATGTCTTTATCGGCGCGGTTACTACATTTCAAATAAATACCGGCCCGGATGCAGTGTAAATAAAACCATGTAGGAGGTATTATTCAATACCATATGGGGGGTGGTATTAAATGAGTTAGAAAATTAATAATGGTACTAAATTAGTAAATTACGATATTAGTCCTTCTAATGTCTAATGTTCAAATTCAAGACAAGGTATTAAAGTTAATTTATATCAAACAAAATTTTTACTTTTGTTGTGGGGACCACAAAAAAAGTAAATTACAATATTAACCTTCCCCGTGTCTAATTATCTAAATCAGATAGAGGGTATTTAAGTTAATTAACAAATGTAATCATTATTTTTGCAGTAATGCTATATTGATCAAATTTTGGGATCAAATTTAAAGTCCAAATGATATGACAGTTGACTTGGACTTTTTTTATTGGCGTCATGTCATTTGGGTCTCAATAAAAACTCAAAATAATCAGTTATTATATCATTTAGACTTCAATTTTAATCTTAAAATTTAATCAATCTACCTTTACTGTTATTTTTATGTAAGAGTCACGTACATTACAAAAATTACAAGTCAAACATAGTATAAGATTAATAAAAATATTAAATTATGTCTTTCATACCCGCAGCATCGGAGAGGATTGGAAACCCTTACATCCTTCTCCATCAAACAAACATACCCAAAGACCTTGTCTCAAGGTGACCCGCCCGGATTTCTTTCATCAAATCTAAACTATGTGTATATACACCAGAAAATGCCACCAAATCTGCAAAAACATGCATGACTGACATTTGTCGCCCTCTACTCTCTCTCCTCCCTCTTTATAAGCTGCTCCAAGTACTCCATAATTCACACACTGGGACATTGACTGCTAATCATAAACCAAGAAGAGAGAAAGAAAGAGTTGAGAGAGGTAAGAGAGATGGGAGAGGGAAGGGCTTTGCTGCTGCTAGTGCTGGTGGTGTGCTATGCACTGGTGGCCACAGTGGGTGGGTATGAAGATGAAGGAAGAAGACGGAGGAGAGAGAGAGAAGAGGGACAGGGAGAAGGAGAGAAGACAGAGGGAGAAGATTTCTTCTTATTGCAGAACTCAAAGCGTGTGGTGAAGACTGATGCTGGGGACATGAGGGTAGTAAGGGGTTGGGGTGGTAGAATTATGGAGAGACGTATGCAAATTGGCTTCATCACTATGGAACCAAGGAGTCTCTTCATCCCCCAGTACCTTGATTGCAGTTTGATCCTATTCATTCGCAGAGGTCCTATTCTTTTCTCTCTCTCTCTCTCTCTCTCTCTCTCATAGTAGGTTATTGTTATCAAATTTCGATACATAATTTTGGTAAACTTGAAAACAAAATATTTCAAAAGCAAAATAAAATATTGGTCGAAACTTATTGAAATCTCTCTCTAAACCTTAAAATTTTGATTGATTCTTTTCAATTTTCATAAGAACATAAACGGTTCAGTTGTTTTGATGGCGTATGGTGGGTTTCAGGGGAGGCGAGAGTTGGGCATATCTACAAAGATGAAATGGTGGAGAGACGATTGAAGACCGGAGATGTTTACAGGATTTCAGCTGGCTCGGCATTCTACTTGGAAAATACAGCCGAAGGCCAGAAACTCCATTGCATTTGCAGCCTTGATACATCTGAGAGTTTAGGATGGAATAGCTTCCAGGTACATCCCCCCCCTCACCCCCACCAGACACACGAAAAAATAATAACTTTTCTTGGCAATCAAGTTATTAGTTACAAATCATGCCATTCTTTTTAGACACTAAACAATCATCTCAATCAGGTGTTTGAAGACACATGATTGCAACACAAAAACTTCGGTAGCATTTGGTAACCATGAGTTTTGTTTTCATTTTATGGCCAAAAAAAAAAAAAAAAAATGCGTTTGATGATTGTTTTTGTATTTTTTAATTGCTCCATTTTGAAAACAAGACTAAAATATAAAAATATTCAAAATAATATTTTTAAAAACATCCAAAAAAAACAAATGCATGTTTAAAAGGGAGGTTAATGAGATCTAGGTTTCGATCCCCCTTAACAACAAATTTTTTTTTATTTTGCTTGAGTATATAAGAAGTCCTTCACTTCTTTTTTCTTTAGATCTCCCCCCTCTTTCTCTCACTCTCTCTCTCTCTCAACCTTCTCTATTTTGATGGTGGTGATGAATTTTGGGGAGTGGTGGTGGATTTTGGTAGTGGTGGTAGGGTTGGGCGGTGGTGGGTTTTCGAGGATTGGGGTGGGTTGGGTGGCTATGGGTTTCAAGAGATTGGGGTGGGTTTCAGGGAGTTGTGGTGAGTTTCGGAGATGATGGTGGGGTTATGTGGTGCTGAGTTTTTGGGTATGAAGATGGGTTTCAGAGGTGCTAGATTTCAGGGGGTGGTGGTGGGTTTTGGGGATGAAGGTGGGATTGGGTGATGGTGGATTTCAGGGATGGGGATGGGAGTGGGGGTGGGTTTCAATGGTGGTGAGTTTCAGGGGTGGTGAATTTCAGGAGGTTGTTGAGTATTGCAAAAGGGTTGTGGGGTGGTTTTTGGTGGTGGTGGTGGGTGTTTGGTGGTGGTTGGTGGTTGAGTGTTTGGTGGTTGGTGGTGGTGTTGGGTGGTGAATTTTTTGTATAATACCAAATATATTTTTTATTTTTATTTTTATAATTTTTTAAATATAAATGACTATCAAACATGTTTTATATTTTTATTTTTTATCACAAAAAAATAAAAATTAATTTTATTTTTTTTTATAAAAAAAAAACATTAAAACAAAAGAAACGCATTCTTATAGGTACACCAACAAACCTATACATCAATTAAACAGTTTTTGCAATCAAAGATATTCAAATTTAAAACTCACCTCTTGTTTGACCATTGAGCTAGCACGTGCATGGTGCAAATCACACATTTTCATGCAGGAGTATTGTATACAACTTCTATGACAATGGCGTATATGTTGTTTTGCAGTCTTTCTTCGTTGGTGGTGGAAGCAACCCAACATCTATTCTTGCTGGATTCGATCCCCAGACATTATCAGCTGCATTTAATGTAAGCAAAAAAAAAAAAAAAACTTCATCTTCATCAGCAATATCTCTTTTTCATTTTTCATCTCAATTTTATGAATCTTTACTATCGCAACAGGTTTCAGAATCGGAAATAAGGGAGATTTTGACTAGGCAACAAGCAGGCGCAATCGTATACTTGCACGATTCTCAGCGGCCAACTGTGTGGACACAATTTGTGAAACAACATCATCATGAAAGAAAAGCACACCTCAAGAGAATTGTGCTCTTTGAGGAGGAAGCTAGCCAAGGAAAAGAACAAGAACTACCCACATGGTCATTGAGGAAGCTTTTGATTTCTGTACTGGGAATGGAAAACAAGATAGGAGAAGATGGGAGCAAGAAAGGACCCGACTCGTACAACATTTACCATAGGCGGCCCGACTACAAGAACAACTATGGATGTAGCATGGCCATTGATGAGTCCGATTATTCTCCTCTCCGTCACTCCGGCATGGGCATTTATCTTGTCAATCTTACTGCGGTAATTAGTCTTTTGATATAGACCTCCGAATGAGCTTGAGTCGTTTAGATATTTGAAGCTCGTCACAAGTCTTTACTCGAACAATTGCAAGCGGCCAGGACGTACATCATACAAGATGTTGCTCACTTTTTTGTATACTCTCCCGCTCCTCACGTAGATGAAGTGATATGAGTCCGTTTCCTCATTTCCACTATAATACAAAAGAGAGAACTTAACACTAAATAGGAATCCTTAGGAAAGAGGGCTCCTCTTAAGAAGTGAGACCTGTCACTTGAAGTGGCGGGGCTTCAAACACTTGCTTTCATTCGAGGATAACGCTTTCATCCGATTTTCAAGACACGAGATGCGAAGGAAACTTAAGTGAAAGTATTTCCCACTAACAACCCCAGAAGGTGAATCAATGCTGGCAAGGCCCGCCCTCCCCCTTTAGGGATTCAAGTGTTACGTGAGGAATTGAGAGTAATACTATATATGTACTAAAGTATCTTTCGCCGTTACCTATTCAATACACGTTTAAGTTTTTTTATTTTTTTGAATAAACACTTGTTATTTCACCAAACATTCGTGGTGACAAAGGAGTCGAAGACTAAGTGTGTTTTTTATATCCATGATGCTCCGCTCGATTTGATTCATTTTTAACTAGATAAAGAGATTTTTACTAAAAACTAACACAAATTTGGTGATGAGCATTTCTTCAGGGATCAATGATGGCGCCACACGTCAATCCAACCGCCACAGAATATGGAATCGTCTTGAGAGGAACCGGTCGTATCCAAATCGTGTATCCAAACGGAACCCTAGCGATGAATGCCAAAGTGAGAGAAGGTGATGTGTTCTGGGTGCCAAGGTACTTCCCATTCTGCCAGATCGCATCGCGCGGTGGCCCGTTCGAGTTCTTTGGTTTCACCACCTCAGCTCGCCGGAACCGGCCACAGTTCCTAGCCGGAGCTAATTCACTTCTTCAGACCATGAAGGGATCTGAGACTGCAGAAGCGTTCGGGATCAGTGAGGAGAGGCTGAAGAAGATCATTGATGCTCAACGGGAGGCTGTGATCTTGCCGTCGCCAACGGTGGCACCACCGGCCACTGCGGTGGAGCTGGAGGAGGAGGAGATGGGGAGGGTTAATCTGATACCAAGGATGATCAATAACTTTGGAAATGGTATGATCATGGGGTTTGATTAGATGGGTGGTTTTTGGTGAGGATGAACTGAAGATGTTTCGGAGTAGGGTAGAAGTAGCTTAATTTCCCAAGTTTTTCTTTTGTTTTATCGTCTCAGTATGCTCTGAGCCTCTGATCAGAGTTTTTGAATAAGATGAACATGTTTTCTTCTCCATTCCATAATACATTGGATTTTTCCACTCTAGTTGGTCTGAAAGATTGTGATCATTTGCGCTCTCTCTCTCTCTCTCTCTCTCCACTTACAGCATACTACTCGACTATGGCACGGCATTAATTAACCTAATGTTCTGAACATATCAAATGTCTGCCCAAAACACCCATGACTAGAAGAAGACCATTACCCCCTCTCCATTCCACCACACACAACCCGACACCAAAATTCGCCACTAGCTAGAACCCTTTCCCTCGAGATCCTCCAATACACCAAAAATTAAAAAGAGAACTCTGTTCAAACAATTCTAACCGTTGAACTAAAAATAATTATACTCAAATTCTCTAAAATTTATCGTTTAATTATTCAGGCCCGTGACATTTAAAATATTACATACAGACCTCTTAAAGTTTGTACGCTCGTAACACTTAGACCATTGCATATTTGTTAATAAATTACACTCAGGCTCCTTGAAAGTTTGTAAACATATATTAATTAGACCCTTTAAGTTTAAAATATTATATTTAGACCAAAAATACTTCAATCAAAGATAAAATATCAAATATTTTAAATTTTACAATTAAAATTCATGTTTTATTGTATCATTTATTGAAATAAAAATTTAATTTTCTATTGGAATTTAATTTGGTCGTTTAAATGACCAAATTAAAATATCAAACTACTCCAATTAAAGCTAAAAGATATTATATTCATTACAGTTTGACCCCTTGTTTAATTTTTTTAGTTTTATTCTAATAAATAATATAATTATATACTAACTATGATTTTTTTTTAAATATTTTTTTTTGATTTTATTTCAATAAATGACATAATAGTACATGAATTTTGAATGTAAAATTCATATTCTATTATGGAATTAAACCCCTTGTTTGATTTTTTAGTTTTATTGTAATAGAGAGTATAATTGTATATTAATTACGTTTTTCAAAAAAAAATTAAATTTTTAATTTTAATTTTATTTCAATAAATGATATAATATAATATAATTTTTTTTTATAAAATTTAAAATATTTGATATTTTATCTTTAATTAAAATATTTTTGGTTTAAGTATACTATTTTAACCTTAAAGGATATAAGTATTATATGCCTACAAATTTCAAGTGGTCTAAGTATAATTTATTAACAAATATATTTACAGTAAAGATCTATGTGTTATTCGTGTACAAACTTTAGGAGGTCTGTATGTAATATTTTAAATGTCAAAGGTTTAAGTGATTAAGTGACAAACATCAGGGAACCTGAGTGAAATTCTCCCTAGAAAGTAAGTGACATGGCAAAAGGAAGGTATTTTGATTGTATAAATCTAATTGAACAACAGTAATACTAGACTGATTAAATTTTGTGATTAAATTTAAAGCCTAAATGACATGGAGGTTGACTTGGACTTCTTTGATTGGTGTCATGTCATTTGGGCCTCAATAAAAATTTCAAATAATCAACTGTCATGTCATTTGAACTCCAAATTTAATCTCAAAATTTGATCAAGATAGCATTACTCATTAAACAATTTTGACTCAATTTTAAGTGACAAATAAATTATTTGAATGAAAAACCCGTCGGGTTTAATAAGTAAGGGTAGTCAAGTGATATTGGGGGGGGGGGGGGTAACTGTAATAAATCCTACAAAATTTAGACCAAAACTAATCCCATAGTCCGCAAGTTCGTACGAGTTCGTCGTCTCCCTCTCGATCTACTCTGAAACAGATCGTCTTGTCGAGTTTGGGATCAATCGTCAACGACTCAACTGCCATTTCAAGTTCCGAAGAAACAGAGAATTCAAGGAAGAGACTGAAGAAGCTGCGATGAGAGACCATCATCATCATCGTCTCTTATTTCTCATCGTATCAATTATCTTTGTGTTCAGTTTGATTCGGAACACTGATGCTGAAGTTATAACCCTAACGGCTGATACATTCAATGACAAGGTACTAATTAACATCCTCTTCAAATTATTGTTCTTATATATTCCTCTGCTAAGATCTCAGATCCACGCTGTAATTTGAAAACTAGGGTTAGCCGGGAATTGAGGATTCAGATTACGGTTTTGTGGAAATTTTATCGCTTAGACTTTCTGTGTGTTTGATTAGGTGAAGGAGAAGGACACTGCGTGGTTCGTGCAATTTTGTGTCCCTTGGTGTAAGCACTGGTAATTATTTCCGTCTTTATCTGCTTTTAATTCTAAGAATTAAGTTGTTTGATTGCTAATATTTATTCCTGTGAGTTTCAGTAAGAACTTGGGGACTTTGTGGGAGGATTTGGGGAAGGGAATGGAGGGAGAGGATGAAATTGAGATTGGACTAGTTGACTGCGCTACAAATAAACCAGTATGTAGCAAAGTTGATATACATTCATATCCTACTTTCAAGCTCTTCTATAATGGGGAAGAAGTTGCAAAATACCAAGGTAATATTTGAGTTCCAATTTGTTTCCAAGATAGTTTGCCAAGCAGTTTTTCACTTAACCAAGTCCATTTATCTTTAATTGTGTGATTGTCTAGCTTCATTATCGAGAAGTGTTCATTATTGAATATTATATGATTTCCTTACATAACTGTTATTGCAACTGAATCCTTCTTAAGTTTCTCCTCATTTTTTTTCAAATACTTGCAATGAGCCGCTGACTGAAGTACGAAAACCTTGAAATGATCAAGTAATGGAATCAATCTTGTAACTTAAACTAGTAATCTTTGAAGGTTATAGCTAGTCTGAACTCTAAACAGAGTAAGTGTTTGAGTTTGCTGTTGGTTAAGTTAGCCTATTTTCCTGTTTGAGCCCTGCTACTTTTGTAATTTTTTCCTGTTTCAATAAGTATTCTCGTATTTGATTATCTTCCGCTCTGTACACCATAGACCTTCATTTTGCCAAGATAAAACTACTCTTCTCAATTTTTTTTTTTTCAGTAAGTTTGTTATTTACAGGGGTTTTTCATTGTCTACTGCTTCAATTCTCTGCATATTTTTCCTGTCGATGATCGTTTTAGCAGTACATGCAATCTGCATATTATGTGACGAGTGACGACAGGATTTCCAGTCTAGGACTTCATGTTGAATGAGACTAGGAAAAAGACTGAGGGGCTGTTTGATTACTCCACTTAACCCTTAAGCTTGTACAAATTTAGTAAAGAATGAGTTAAGCTCGTTTGATGAGGTAGCACCACAATCATTGAACAAAATAAGCTAGTCTTCTCCAAAGGTATTCCTTGCAACATCTTTCTCTCCATGTGGAATTTTTATTCTCTCGCCTTCACAGAATCGGCTCTGAACTCCTTTTCTTCAACTGTAAGACGATATCTTCTTCACTGCCTTTTATCTCTTTGAAATTCCCAACAAATAGGGTGTGCAATGCCACCACATTCAAAAAACAAAAGGGATGTGCAATGCACTGTGGTTGTTCATGTATGGATACATATATATAAAATGTTCTTGTAGCCTAAAATACTAATTTTCAAATGCATTATCAAGTTTCAATTTCATAATAATATTGAGTTGGTTCGCTTAATTGTCATGAAGATGAAGGTTTCTTACCAGACCGGTGTGATAATTTTGTTGAGATTATTAGGATAGTAACTCTTGTTATGACAATGGCAATAATTTTAGACTATAATGTGATAATAGGGATTATAACTTATGTAATGAATTATTTTTACTGGTGTGTCATGGTTTTGTATTATATAAATGTATATTGAACACATAATTTCAAAGTAAAGAGTGGAAAGGACAAATCTTTAGCGGTGATCCAGTAATTGAGTCTGGTCTTTGGTAACCCAGAAGTGTTACCAGTAGTTTCAAGTTCCTTTTCTTCTCACACCTTCCAGCGTTAGCCACTCTTATCTTTTTAGGGACATGCTCTAACCCAACTCAAGTTACAGTGGCTAGCCACTGAACTTGAGGGAGTAGTCAGTATAAGTCTGGACACGTTGTAACCAAAAAAAAAGAGTAGAAGGATAAATTTGAAAAATTATTTATTTTCAGACTTAAGCTCTATTTACTTGTCAAATAGTTTGATTCAATTTAGTGCTTATTTTAGTGGAAACCAAACAGATTACAAATTAAGAAATTCAACATTCAGCACTTAAAATTCAGCTTTCAGTTTTATCAAATAACACCTAAGAGTCTAAGACTAGTTCGGAATTCCAGCTTCAGTCTCAAATTGCTGCAAGAGATTGGTGGATAGAATTTTTTTCGACGATAGAAGCATTCACGTCAAATTAATCAACAAAAGTTGAAGTTAAGACCCAAATCTCTGTTTTCTTAAGGATGAATAAGGTTTTATTATCCACAACGGGCATTTCATGCAAATAAAAGGCAAGTGTAAAATTCCGGGGCTTTCGCACAGGAGCCTGAGGAACTACAATCTCAAACTCTAAAGCAGAGATAATAAAGCAAAACTACTAGCAATAAATAACAAAGCTATGCTGGTATCAAGTCAAATGCTTTAGTGGCACGCAAGATACCATACTAATAGTTGAAGCAAATCACACAGATGCCACCAGCAGCTAAACACAGTCAGCAACACAGTAAGGGCCTGAAAGTGGCTGCTCCTTACTTCCAAACATGCGTATCACAATATACAAAGAGTAGAGTCAAATGGCTATTAATCCAGAAGTCCATGTTCGACATTCTCATACCTTGACCTATTAACTTCTGATGTTGTGAGCAGTATTTAGTTCATCATGGGTCATGGTCTCATAGATGCATGAAAATATTCGGTTTTTTGGTATGCCCCCAGCACAACTAAAACTAATCGAAGAATATAGGGGATTGCTATGAAGAATTCCAGACCTTTACCCATTGTGATTATGGGAGAATCCTTTGGAGATTTTAATGGCCAAGGAGAGAGACTTTTGCTGCAAGAAAAAGTATGGCATAACGACACACAAAAAAAGTAAAACATTATAGTCACTAGGACAGTAACCTGATGTGCCACTTATTAGCCAGATTTTAAGTTATTATTGGAACATATGAAAAGAGGCGAAGTATCACTTCTTTTCTTTTTGAATTTGCACTATTTAAGATGGAAAGGAGAAAAGTGGAATTATTACCTGTTTGTGTATTTCCGCAGTTCAATATGAGCAGGAGCAGGGTGTAGTGGTTAGTCATGATTTGGTGCAGCTCTGCAGTTTTGATAATATACAAACATATACACTTAACTTGATATTAAAGAACAAAAACATGCTCGAACAAGGCTCCTACCCTATTCCTATCTATTAATAAGGCCTACTAAATCGGTAATTTGTTCTTTAGTTTTTCCCTTGCTAGTGAGAGAGCCAATATCGTTGCAGTAAATGTGATTGGTTCTCTTATATTGTAGTGACGCTTGTTAGTTGAAAATTAGTTGTATTTTGCTTTCATACATATTTACATTCTCTTCTTTTTGTTTAACATCACTGAAACTAGCAACTGCTTACATAGATATGTAATATTTACTCTTCCTGCAGATATGTATGCTTGTGTCCCTCACTATGTAGGTTCCTACTAAATCCAATTTGATTTTATAACTGGCTTATAATCAGGGTCAAGGGATGTGGAGTCACTTAAAACATTTGTTCTGGAAGAAGCAGAAAAGGCAGCAGCAAAAGCACAACTCGACAATGACAAGGATTTGTGATTATCTGTCAGGTAAAATTGAGATGCTCATAGTATCATTTTCGATTATTCATCAGAAAGTGGATATAAGAAACTTCAAAAATTTTATTTACTTCTTGCTCTCTCTGTTAAATTGTTTATTTATTTGTTCTGATAAGTAAGGGTGGTTATGTTTTTATTTGAGCATGAATTGCACTCTACGATGTCCAGTTTTATTTAATCTAATTTCCCATATAAGTTTTGATTATATATTAATTGGTTGTGTGATTTGCGTACTTAGCTTACACTAGTAAGTGGCTTGACATTCAGAGTGATGATCTGGTGACGTTTGGTACTCTTAGTGGAAGCAGCAAAAGTCTCGACTCTTGATAAACAAGGAAAACACTAAGTGGACGTTACAGTCATCAACTAGCAACAAGTGCTCTAGCAGATATTTTGACAGTGTTTATTTATTTTTATTTTTCCTGTGTAGAAATAGGAAGCTTGATCAAGCAGATGACACTAAACAAAATAGCTCCGTCTGTGAGGACATTTATTTGTATCATTTGGCTTACTATATTATCTTGTCGGCGTCCAATTTTGAAAAATTAAAAATATTTGCGGAGGGCATTATGTTTCATTACATTGAAAGCTAATGTTAAACGTCCCACATTTCATATTATTACTTGCAGCTAGTTCACATATGATTCGTCGAGATGCATTACAGGGCTGGGCACTGTTGCTGGTGATTATCTCTGTGTTTTTTCAGAAGATTGTTTGGTAATATAGATGTTATGCATGTCACCAAAGAAAAAAATGTTGAGAGAGAGAGATAAATGGAGTGATGCTTAATTATCGTATTATTCAGTGTAACACTGACATCCAGAACAAAAGAAAAATAAGTTGCAGAACGACTGTGTGGTGGATTTCTTCATTTTGGAGAAGAAATAAAAGACATTGAGTCTGGAGAAAAAAAATTCTGTAGCAGCTCAAAAGAGAGAGGATTCGTTGTTTCAAGTCATTCTGAACAATAAACTTCAGGGACAAGATATGAGAGGCGAATTATAGGATTCTCGGATCGTTTGTGGTAGATTGTTAAGTGTAAGTTCGCCAGAAATGGGTTGCGATGAGGTGGTTATTAGTTTATTACCCTTAAGCTCGGTGCATCATCTTTGACACCAACTTACCGGAAGAAAAAAAAAAAAACTTTGGCACCATGTGGACTGTGTGTGTTTATTTGTCTTCTGATCAAAAAAAACAAAAAACTTGAGAGCCTTTGGGCAGACATGTCGATAAGACTTATCATGACAGTGACACCATGTCCACTGGCCCTTGTTTGCCCGACAATTGACACCATGTTCACAAAGTGGGCTGTCCATACTCGAATGATAGTCCGAGCGTTCAATCATTACACACTAAGGATCTCAAATTACATCTCAAATCAATATAGACCCTTAAATCAGCGAGGGAAATTTTTTCATCCAAAAAACTCCACTCATATGAGATACACTTTAGAAGGCAAAAGTCGTTTAAATTAAAACTATAGAACTCCAGGATTGTTAATTGACTATAATTATTTAATATCTCTGTTTGCATTCAGTATTTTCTGGGGGAAGAAACCAGCCCCTTATTCCCAAAGCAAGATAGTAACAGGCGAATAAACTCCATTCACTCGCCTATTATTGAGGTCCAAGCTCAAGATGGTGCAATCTTATTTCCACATCAAACGGAGTGAATTTCTCTAATATGTACTACCAAAACCCCAAGCAATACCTAAACCACAATACAGAACCCATCAGACACAAGTATTCATGGAACTCAATTCAAGCATAGACGAACTGCTTGAAGCTGCCAAGAGACAGAGTGAAGAAGAGCATAACGCAGAATCACAACTCTGTAGTTAATGACAAAATAATAAAGGATGATGCAAGAGATAAGGAGATGACACAATTAAAAACGCTCTTTTAAGTTCATAACAAACTGAAATTGTTTACCGACCACAAATTACCAACTCACCTCAAGGTTATGAAGTCGAAACAAGAAATGGCCACTGGAACTTCCACCACTGCCCATCAAACAATCTGGTTCGCACCAAATTGTTCAATTCCTCCCACTATCCTCACAAGTAAGGCTAGAGTGCGGTGATGAAAGCTCTCAAAACCATACTCAAAACTGCTTAAATGGCCAAAACAAGTACAGAAATAGCTAAAGCAAATAACAGAAATTAAACTGTTCATAGAAAATTTCATTCAAAACACAATTCACTTGACACCCTTCTTAGCTGCGGCCTTGGTGACCTTGGCACCAGTGGGGTCTTTCTTGTCGACACTCTTGATGACACCAACAGCAACAGTTTGGCGCATGTCCCTCACAGCAAAACGACCAAGAGGTGGGTACTCAGAGAAAGTCTCCACCACCATGGGTTTGGTGGGAATCATCTTCACCATACCAGCATCACCATTCTTCAAGAACTTGGGTTCCTTCTCAAGCTCCTTGCCAGATCGTCTGTCAATCTTGGTCAAGAGCTCAGCGAACTTGACAGCAATATGGGAAGTGTGGCAGTCAAGGACTGGAGCATAGCCATTTCCAATCTGGCCAGGATGGTTCATGATAATGACCTGAGAGGTGAAGCTGGCAGCCCCTTTTGCAGGGTCATCCTTAGAGTTGGAAGCAACATATCCTCGCTTGAGATCCTTGACAGCAACATTCTTCACGTTGAAACCAACATTGTCACCTGGCAGGGCCTCCTGAAGAGCTTCATGATGCATCTCAACAGACTTAACTTCAGTTGTCAGACCAGTTGGTCCAAAGGTCACAACCATACCAGGCTTGATTAAACCAGTCTCAACACGTCCCACTGGCACAGTTCCAATACCTCCAATTTTGTACACATCCTGAAGTGGAAGACGAAGGGGTTTGTCTGTGGGTCTCTTAGGCTCAGAGATCATGTCCAGAGCATCAAGGAGGGTTGGGCCCTTGTACCAGTCAAGATTTGTTGACCTCTCAATCATATTGTCTCCCTCGAAACCAGAGATGGGTACAAATGGGATCTTGTCAGGATTGTATCCAACCTTCTTCAGGTAGGAAGAGACTTCCTTTACAATTTCATCATACCTTGCCTTAGAGTACTTTGGGGTTGTGGCATCCATCTAAACAAGTTGAACAAAAAAGGTCAGTAAGAACAAATCTCACATTCGAAAATGCTGAAAAGAACAAACACATATTTATTAGTATTTTGACTAACGAGCTCACCTTGTTGCAGCAGCAAATCATCTGCTTGACACCAAGGGTGAAAGCAAGCAAAGCATGCTCACGGGTCTGACCATCCTTGGAAATACCAGCTTCAAAACCACCAGTGGTGGAGTCGATAATGAGGACAGCACAGTCAGCCTGTGAGGTACCAGTGATCATATTCTTAATGAAATCCCTGTGTCCAGGGGCATCAATAACCGTGCAGTAATACTTGGTGGTCTCAAACTTCCAAAGGGCAATATCAATGGTAATACCACGTTCCCGCTCAGCCTTAAGCTTGTCAAGCACCCAAGCATACTTGAATGACCTCTTGTTCATCTCAGCTGCCTCCTTTTCGAACCTTTCAATGACACGCTTGTCAATACCACCAAGCTTATAGATCAAGTGTCCAGTAGTGGTTGACTTGCCAGAGTCGACATGGCCAATGACCACAATGTTGATGTGAACCTTCTCTTTACCCATTCTGGACTATAAAGAAAGAAACTTTAAATAAAACAAGAGGACAAGAACTGAAACACAACCACTAAGAAACCATGAATAAAAAATTGACAAGACAAACAATCCAATTACGATCGTGTAGGATAAATAAGAAGGCCTGGGGTCCATAAATTTGTAGTGAAAACATCTTGTTTGGCAAATGAAACAACAAAGACAAACCACATTGACTAAACCCCAAAGAACTCAAACCAATGAACATATAAACAAATGCAGCCAAAATACAATTTTCTGGCACCAAAGTTTCATATGCTGAACCGACAACTCAGTTGAAATGAGATTTTAATTGCTGAAGACCCAATATACAAAACTAACTCACCACAAAAAAAAATCTGTTTGAAACATATACTGAAAAAAAGATTTCCAGCCATTTTTATCTATTTCTTTTTGTTACCAGGCCCTCATAATTGGATATATTTTTGCCGTGAAATTAAATGCACATCCCATAACCCTTGTGTGGCATAAATCAAGAAGATTCTACTTAAAATGTCCCAAAGAGGAGATCCTACCCAGTGACCAAATACTTAAAAACAGATATAAAATTAATGGTTCGGCAGGTACTCTAGCCTACATTAGTTCACACAAATTTTGGCTACTAGACCCCATGATATTCTATCAAATGAGCAGGCAGATGTACCGATTTGAATCCACCAGTACCACGGATCTCAAAACTAGGACACCTCATGGATGGCCAGGGATCTAAAATGACTCATAAATCAAAACCATAAAAGTTTAAGCAAATATCATTTTGAATAAATATTCAACCATATACAAACATGTATGCATAAACACAACTCAATTAGAGATGACTAACCATGGTTAAACTTTACATGGCCAAAAATAGGGAAAATAAATAAATAAAACAAACCTCACAGATAGCTAAACTTCACGATTAAAATCAAGAAAAAAAATCGAAAATACGAGTTTTAAGACACAATTTTCAAAATCGTGTTGAACAGATCCGAATCAGAAAAAAAATAGTGAATTTCATGCATACAGAGATTCAGATTCACCAACTCCTTACAATAGAAAATCATATATCAGCTCAGATTAACAGATCCAATACAAACACGCACACTCACACATATATAAACACATGTATATAATCAAATGAAATACACAATTAATATCTACAAAAAACCATAGAAAAACAGAAACTAAGAGTACTGACCGGCCTATAAAAATCTGGCAGATGAAAAAAGCGCAGGCTCAAGTGAAATCTTTCTCGCTCGCTCGCCGACTTGAGGAGAGAGAGTCTGTATATAGAGAATTATGGATGAGGCAAAGGAGGCTCGAGGCATTTATATATGCAGCAGTAGTGGTAGTGAGGTTAGGGTTTCCTCTCCACCGTTGGATTAAATGTGATCTGACGGTTGTGAAGGCGAGATGCTTTTTGTTAGCCCTAGTGCGTACACGATGCGTTAATTTACCTGTTCTTTGTCTCTGCTCACTGTTGAATTACATAAATAACCCTCATGAGATGCAATAATTACCATTTGTGTCCTGTACTCCACGATGATTATTATTATTATTATTATTTTTTGTAATAGTTTTTCCATTTCTATTGTGCAGCCACTTAGAGGTATTTTTCACTGTCAGTTCACTCTGTGTCTTGCATCTCTCCTTCCAGAGTTGCCAAAAAAACTAACAGTGAAATAACTCTAATTAATCCATGGTTGACAGAGTGATGCCTGTAAACTTTAACAATTCTCATAAATTTGGAAATAGGATCCTCATTACTAATCAAATTAATTCCCAGATAATCGGAAACAATTTTCTATAATGTTCTTGCAAACCCACAATCAATAAAAAAATGTGCAACTAATTCTTCTTCGTTGTAACTAATAATGGTTGAATTTTGGAGCGTGATGTCCATCTTAAACTCAAATCACCTAATAGACCAAAAAGGGTGCACAACGGCCCAAAAAATTCCTTAACAACTCATTTGTTCTGTAATAAAGAATGGGTCATAATCCAAAGAAGGAAGCCCAACAGAGAGTCCAGCTCGACATAACCCTGCTTGGTCATAAACAAGCACAACGTTAAGCAGCCCAGGATCAAGGAGTTCGTTACTCACCAGACCTTGAATGCCCCAATTCACGCCTCGTGTCCAGGGGACTAAAAGACAACTTTTAGAGCCTCTAACAAATGTGTACTCTCTGGCAAAGAGAATATTTTTGCTCGTAACCACCTAAGGATCGTGGATATAGTGGTGTCACATGGCAGATGTCACTAAAGGGCAAAATGAAAGGGGACCACAAAATCAGCAAAAAGAAAGAGGAAGCTGCAAGAAACCTAAAAGAATTACTCGTATAAATAGAACAATATCACACTATAAAAAAGGACTGACAATTTTTTTATTGATATAATGGTATTCATAAAAAATTGTATGAACAGGCTTTAAGCCCAACAACCCATTGTAATTTTCTTTTCCAAGAAATATACACACCAAAGAATAAGAGATTCTATTATAATTGACGTACCTTTAATGTTTCAGCTAAGGTGAACTATTTATACACTATCTCATATTCATTCTCATAGTTTAGTTCACTGTCAATCCATATATTCAGTCTACCCCTATCTGAACCATCAAATCTTCGTTCTAGACTTGGGCCAAGCATTTCCGAGTACCATCAGTAACGTAAGACACATCGACTAGGCTAGAGAAATATCCAGCTGCTGAACTCTGGAATCAAGAGGCAGAGCATTCTTTAAAATCTTCCATTCCACTAACTGTGCACTTGAGCAGTGTACTATTTTCCAATATTTTTGGCCTGAATATTAATTTGTCCTAGAGAACTGACAAGCTCTCGTGCTGATTTTGCTTTGAAATTCCTCAAAGAAGAGAGTTTTCATATCAGCCTATCCGCGCGCATTGTCGGTCAGTAAACATTGGTTGTAACTACTTCCACAACTAGCTGTGAATCCATCTACTATACAACACCCTCTAGTGGTCATTGTCCATTTATCAGATTTGCAGACAGCATAGGAAAGTGCTGAGGGATGGAAGAGATTCTTAGTAAAAGTGAACCAGATCCCAGCCAATTATCACACCAGAAGTCAATAGAGGTTCTAGACCCTATTAGCTTCTAAGAATTATGAACCACTGTTTCAAACCATGGGACTAAGTCTTTAAAGCATTTAGCATAACCTTGCCTCAGATTTCTAAGGAGATGTTGTTGCTTAAGATATTTAGCAAAGAAGAAAGAAGGCCAAAGCGATGAACCAACTAACAAATTCCATACGTGCTTCAGTCTAAAAGTTTTCTGAACTTCTTCAAACTTGTGATTCCCAATCCCCCTTCATGTTTTGATAAAGTAGTATCCTTCCAAGAGCACCAATGTCTTTTCTTCACTTCTAACTTGTTTGACCATGTAAAAGAAGACATCACAGAATTTAACTTCACAAAGATACCATTGGGAAGATTAAGAGAAGCTAGCATATGAACAGGAATTGAATTCAAACTAATTTCATGAGAACCACTCTACCGATATTTGATAACATTTTTGCATTACCATACCTCCATTCTAGCTTGAAACTTCTTTAGTAGATCCTCAAAATAATTGAACTTGGTCCTACCTTTGATTGTAGGACACCCCATAGAATTTTTTGATTCCCTTCAAACAAATTCTACAAAAAGAAGATGGTTGAGCAACCTTGATCCTCTGTCTGTGTGAAAACCTTTGAGTAGGTCCTATTCAGAGATATTCCTTACTAATAAATGAAAATACATTGATTTGAAGCCAAAATAAATTAAATATAAGCCTTGGAAAAAGGCTTGCGACCCCCTAGTTAGGTAAAAGACACCAAAGCATATCTATTTGTGGGTCAGACTAATCCACCACCACATACCACCCTTACGATAGTCTTAAAGACACATGGTATTGTTTTCTTTGTCAAATGAGCTAATCAAAGGTAAGTTTGTACTATTTATCCAGTGTTTTATTATAACAGATAGTATTCTTATCTCTTATTTAATCTTGTAATTTATCTGCTAAAATTAGTCTAAATTGTCTAATCCTATCATTTTTTTTTATAATACAGCAACCAAATAAATCTATACGTATTTTGGCTTTTCTTTTCCTTTTTTCTTTGGTTAACGAGAAACCTCTTTGAGACAGACTCACTTTAGACCTATTCTTACGAGAATAAACTCTCAATAGTCATATTATTGTTTTTAGAAACTGAAACAACCTCATTTTGATAAAACCGTCCAAAAAACTAGTTAGTTTTTTTATAAGTCTCGTGCTTGTCTTGTATTGGATATAGTTTGTTTTTAGTGAAAGAAAAACTTATAAACACTGGATTCTATACTTCAAGGTCTACATTCTTCCATTGGTACACAGCATAACATGGGAAAGGATTAGGACACTATTATTATAAAACAGGGGTTTTTGAAACTGTTCATTCAATTTAAAAAATACAACAATTTCATTCTCATTAGTTGGTGCCACTTCTTATGCATTTTAATAACACCCAATAATATCTATCAAAAGATTAAAAAAAATACGAAATATGGTTGTACCCTAGTGACATTAACTAATTCACTCTCCGATCTGGTTCACGTCTAGATTGAGGTATTTATAAATGATAAATACTTATCTTTGTTACCATTTGAGTTACTTTTATATTCATGACCTCAAGGAATTACAAAATTCGAACTCAGAACGTTTAAGTTTAAAATTCATCTATATTACCATTTGAACTAGTTTTGAGTTTATGTACTTTTGATGTGTAAGAAAAAGGATAAGTGCTATTCTTTTACTTTGGCCACCTATATATAACATACATTGTTAAGCCTATGTTCGAATCGCCCTTTTGCTTTTGATGCGTAAGAAAAATGATAAGTGCAATTCTCTTACTTTGGCCACCTATATAAAATACATTGTTAAGCCATGAGTAATCATCTGGAACCAAAATACAGGTCAAAAAAGAAGGCACAATTGCCGACGTTTGAAGAAAAAGTTAGTAAATTTAGTCAATATTAAAAGAGTTGAACTATGAGCCCACCTTACCCATGCAACTTTTTCTCCCTTGTTATGTGTGACATTGACAACTACTTAATGTTTATAATTCGATTATATACATGTCAAATTAATAAACTTTTTTCTGTTTTACAATATCGATCTTGTTTCATTGCTATATCTTGTTGATTTTTTTATACAATAATTTGGCGTATTTTTGGATTGAGGGGCGTGTTAAAGTTTGATTGAACTTAAAATTTAAACACATACGATCTTACCTTTTCAAACTGATGTGAGGTTCTAAAATCGTGACTCTACAAACGATTGTAACGAAGTGTAAGACTACTTCTAGGCTCTTTTCACTGTCTTGAAGTTCAAGAATTTAATTAATTTTCAACTAACAACGTAATAAATTAGAATGTAGAAAAACACCTGGAATCGAAAGTAACAGAAAAATTGACAAAGATAAATGTGCAAACTATTGTATTTAACATTAAGCAAAAAGGAAAATACCAAAGTGATAATTACAAACTAAAAGAAACTTGCCGGAAAATAAGCTAAATAAAGGAGAGGTTAGCTCTATGTATAGTTATTACTTTCATCAAGAATCCCACCTCCGTGGCCATGCCTCCAGTATTTATAGGAGATGATCTCTAACCGTCGAGATGGCCTCTTCTCCCAAGTTACTCATATGTGCACTGAATCGTCTCTAATTGAGGGCCCTTAATGTCAAGTTTTTTCGTTTTTCGGGATTCTAAGAGTCACCCTTCTTTGACCGACGTGTTAGACTTAGACTCTTGTTGACCTTCTCTTGATCGTAGATCACCTCTATATGTCACCCTCAAATTTTTCTATTTTGGGTGTTAACAATAAGTTTCTCCATCTCTTAAATAGTTTGATACGAAACCACATCATTTTATGTGATTAGATGTTGAGACAAAGTGAAGCAACAAGGTATAGCTAAGAGAAAATGACGTGTGTTTTTCGTTTAATTTATAATAGATGTATGTAATTAGAATTGTAATACGAGAAGATTGAATAAATAGTAGATTTCAATAAATATTGAGACCTATAGTTAAATCAATAACAAATATAATAATATTATAAAGTCAGATTTTTAAGTCAATTTTTTTAATTTGTGTATGCTCTACATTTTTTTTTTTTTGCATAGCAACGATTGTTTACACTACAGGGGAGGAGGAGGGGGAAGAAGAGGAGAATCGAACCTTCAACATGCCGCCCCATTATGAAGGGCTTTCACTATTCGGGTGGGACCTCAGTCCTATGCCCTAAAT